ATTGCTAAATCTATCTTCTAAGATGTTTGCTTCATTTGTCCATTCTGCCGTTGAGGAATATAAAAAATGTATTCTGGAAATATTTTCTCTCACATAAAAATACAGCTGTCTTGGCATCATGATTTGTTCATTATAGGGTCGCTGCAGGCTAGCTTTTGCTGCTAACCTTTTAACAGTGCCACCTAACCCATTACATGGTCCTTTCCAATGAGAAGTAGCAAAAAAAGTGCCACTCTGCATCGATACCAAAATCAGATTTATGGTTGCACAAATTTATAAAGTTTTTAAAATTTCTATAGTGTGAAACAGCACCATCAGAGAAATATATCATTTTTTTGGACATCAAAATCAAGAATTTCTTTTAATTTTTCTATAAGCTTTCTTTGAAACAAATGGACATGCTTGTCATGCTTGAGACAATCAGATATTATTACAAAATTAATATGCTCAAGGTCAATTCTATTTCTATAGTAGCAGATGAATGGATGCAATGTAGCTTGATCATTATTCCAGTGGAAGCCTTGAGCCACATCTTGCAAAATAAATGAATAATTCTCAGCAAAATCTGCTATTGCTAAAACATCACCAACCTTCACAAACCTTTTCTATCAGAACAAAATTTTGATTGTGCTTTGGCAATGAAATTATGCTTCTTCAATGTTTGAAGGCCTGCATGGAAAGTTTCAATGAATTCCTCTGTGGATTGTGATAGAGTTTGTAGAGTGGTTCTATCAGTTGATAACCACTGTTTGTATACAAAATCATCAACTGAATTTTTGTAAAAAATTTCTTCCATATACAAAACAAAATCATCCATCAGTTTGCTGCAAGTTGAGCAGTCACCCAAGTAGCAACTTGCTGATGCTTCATTGCATGTAACAGCAAGTATGCATTGGTGGTAATCTGTCAAATGATAATTTTCTCCTTCAGTCAGTTTACCAAGATGAGATCCTGCAATCATCAACTTCATATTCTGATGGATTGTGCAAATTCAGACAGTATGAATCCCAGCACCACCTGCTAGAACACATTCTTTTGGTCTAAGCTCAGCAAATTTAGAGAAGCTTATTTTCTCCTGGTTCTTTGATTTGAATAATTCAAATGCCTCTTTCAAGTTACAGAGAACAAGATATTTTTGTTCCTGAACCCATTTCCCATCCTTTAAAAAACAGTCTTGTAATCATTTTTTTCCAGGCATCACTCTACTGACTTCTTCACATTTATAAAACTGCCTCACTTTTATCAATCGTCTTTTGTGGGAATCTAGTTTTTCGTGTATTTGGCAAAGCTAAAATTCCTTCCTCATTCACAAGTTTTTTTTTTTGTCTCACCATGTACATTGTAGTGCCAAATTCTGTTTGTATTTTGCTTAGACTCCAGCTTTTTGGAAGTACAGTCAGAATTTGAATTTTTTGTGATCTCTTTTCACTCACAGTAAACTTCTCTTTCAACTGGGTGATGATTTCTCTTTCAAAGTTTTGGTGTTCTGCGCCAGTTGATTCCTCATGAGAAATGTTTGATGAAATTATACTGATTCTATCAGATACTGCTCCTGTAAATTTTTTCTATATATTTCTATATATCACTTTTCATGACAAAATCTGTTGCATTAGAAAAAAAATGAAGAAAAATCAGTTTCATCACCAGAAAAAAATTTTTTGATTTTATGACCATGGTCCTTATGTGAATATTAATCAGCATTAAAATAGCTTTACAAAAGATATACAACTTGACCATATTGTGAAATATCAAAATGCTTTTATATCAAGTAGCAGATACTACATTCCGCCATTTTGAATTTTGCCCAGTCCTATAAAACACTTTAACAACAGTTCTAGTGGAATGCCCATCATGAAATTTGGAATATATACTGTCATAAGGTAGATAAATCTTTTGTCAAAATTTAAAAAAAATTAAAATAACGTTTTTTGTGATAAGTCAGATCAAAGGACAAGGTCAAGGTCAACTTTTTTATTTGACCCCTAAAAAAAAAATCCCCAGATAAAATTGTAGACCCATCCAAGTACTATAGAATGATATATGAATGAACTTTGTAGGTCCATAAACAACTGAGATATCATCTTTTAAAGTTGGTCACTATTCACATTTTTGTAAAAAGGTCAGAGGTCATATCTCAGGAACCCCTTGACCTTGACATGTGTAACAGGTGCCATTCAATTCCTTTCATGGAGATCTATAAGTGTAGCAAATTTGAAAAAAAATCCGTGTCGGACATGGCATTTGCCCCCCAAAATTTGTTGATTTGACACGGAATGAGCCATATATAGAGAGAGAGAGAGGAGGGGCAAAGTTTCATTGAATAGTTTAGACAAGTTTTGTCTGCTTATTTTCAACAGGATCTGTTCATATTCGTAGGTGAGATTTCTGGTGTCTGTCTTAAAAGAGAGGAAATTATTATTATTTATTATTTTTAACACAACATCATCACCATGGTGTATTTTTAAGACAAAAATGTAGTGTTCATTATTTCCAAAGATGAAGTTATGTTCATCTGAAAGTTATAATTTTACATGTTACTAGTTTTTGTGCCAGGTGGTGTAGGTTATGTTCTAAGGGAGGTAACTAATTGTGTGTGAAGAGTTTCTTTTTTTTTTTAAAAAGAGAAGAAAATAGTATGAGAAACTATTGATATTTTAGTCTATTTATTGTAAACATTTGTGTAACAGTCATAATTAATTTTGTTACAGTTTGGTTTCAATTTTTTAATACAGATGGCTTCAAGGATTTTTAGTTTATGCTTAGTATTTTCATGAGAAAGTATGGATGTATTTTTGACAAGAAGTTTTCTAAATTAGCTTGTCTCAGCAGTTTTTATTTGAATGACATGTCTAACATCTCTAAACATTTACAACAACATGCTTGTCCACTTTTGCAACCATGTGACTGGGGTCTACGACTGGGGGTGGACATGTGGAAATCTAAATTACTACTAAATAGCAATTGCTGAGAACATTTTTAGCAAGAAACTTGTTAGTAATGTCCAGTAATTAGTTAATTAGCAACTATATATAATATTAGGAAGCATCTTATGATTGACTTTTTTCCATAAATGCAAATGTACAAAGAAGAAAAATACCATAAAATAACTAAATGTGCAAAAATCACTTTATTCAACATTAATTAGACATTTTTGGATAATATAGAAAAATTAATGAGTTAATTTCTTTGTTAATTGATGACAGAAAATATAATTGTATAATGCAGTAAGAAAGCAATTTCAGCATTTCACAAAATCGTATATCAACAAAGTCTGAAAATACTTTACAAAAAATGTGAATTTCAGAGAAACAATACTTTTGATAATCTTTGCAAAATTTGCCTATATTTCTGAGATGAGGTATTATGTACACTATTCACATTATTCGGACTACTGTCGTCATCTTTGTTGCCATATTTATCACAACTTTTCAGCCGTTGTATGCTCCAGTGTTTGGAATGTCGAACTGAACCCTTTATTTTGCTCACTGGGGTAGACTGTGCCATGTCTAATGGATGTCAGTTATCATTTATCTCCTGTTAATTCCCCTCTTCAAGTTCTCCACCACCTTAACCAAGTATTGAACTCACACTCGTTGTCCTCAAGGACACATGGCACAGTGGATAAAGGTGTTAGTTAGACCCAGTGACAGGACCCAATTTTGACTTTGCTTGAGAGTTACTATGAAAAATTCTGCAGATATTTCTGGCATAAGTCAGTGGACTTTGTTTATTGCTGAAAGGCTGTGTATATATATTATTGCCATGTTCTTTGTTGAATAAAATCTAAGAAATAAACTCCAGGTCTACTATGTGGGAGGATACTGAAAAGATCTTACTTGACCGAGAAGCCTTTCTAATAAAAAATAGCCAAAACATCAGAGATTTTTTTTTTTTTTAAGTAGGTTGGTTTTTCATTTTACAATAATAAAAATGATTTCTCTACATTAGATATTTTTTTTTTTCATGCAGTCACATTGATATCTCTAATGTTATTGTTATTGAATAAACTATTACATTTTTATCCCTGAATATATCCTTAAACTGGCCCTATGCTCACTAGTAGTCTGCTTACTCAGCGTACAGTACAAGTATTAAAGTTTTGGAATTACATTTTCTTTATTATTTTAAATTTAATCTCATGGTATCTTTTCTCAGTTGACAAAAGCAACTGAATTAATTGCTAAAGTTTGCTTTTATAGTTAATATTTTTTATTTATCTATTTGTTCAAAATAAATTCAAAATTGTTTTTAACAATGTTTAAATAAAATTATTCTTGGCAATATTTATTTAAATGCAATCATATAAGAGAACAAAAATGTCACCTTAATAGTTGTTCATACTTATTTTCTTCCTAATAAAATCTGCATTCTATAGGGTACAATAACAAAAGAATTCCCAACAGTCTTAAGCATTTTTCTCACTTATTTCAGTTGCTAATTTTAGTTTAAAGAAGAAAAATGTTTAAAAGGACAAAAACTTTCTATTTGGCTACAAATTCAATCAGCAACATCTGTTACTGACATTACTATTTAACATATACTACTCTACACATAAATAAATATACTACTCTACACATAAACATATCGACAATTGTTGCACCAATTAGGATTTTCACTTATGCAACAAAGTATATTGATTGGAAATTGAATGACGAAAGGCATCAGAATAAAAATTATGTATAAAATAAATTAGCTGCATATTTGATTTTTATTTTTAATCTTTTCTGCTAGACTACCATAGGCATAGGAACATTTTACTAGATTTCTTGTTATCTTAAGCTGGCAGATATTTCAGCAAACTTTTAAAATATTGTTAAATGAATAATATAACATTGGCATTTTATAAAAATGTTAACAACAAAATGTAGTTGCATAAAAATAGTTCTATATTTTAAGTGACATTGTTAAAACTTCAGATTCATTTTTTTCCTTCCTTTTTATCTTTTTTTTATTAATTTGTTGTATGTTTGAAATTATCCATACTTGATTATCACATTTAGTATTACGTCATTCTCTCTTTCTTTTTTTTTCTCTTTTTTAAGTTCTGTATCTAATACATTAAAAGTATTAATAAGCTGCAAGAACTTTAAATTTGTTATTATTCATAGTGTTTCAATTTCTTCAGATTTATTGCATTTTTATTCATATAATTCATCCTTTCTTGTAACTATGTTCCTAAAAATAATTTTTTTTTACTCTTACTAGGCATGGAACTCTTCTGGGGCTACAACAAGCTAAGCAATTAGCTGAGAATTTGATTCAGACAGTAAGTACTAGTATTGAAATCTGTAACTCATAAACATTAAATGACATATACGTAAAATTGATTTTATAATCTCTCTTAATTCTCAGGTGGTTTTCAATTTTGTGTGCAGAATATGACTTAATGAAGATGGCAACATTTTGAAACATAAAAATATTGTTTTATTCGTATTTTTAATATTTTAAAACTTTAAACCAGTATTTTCTGGTTGAGAAAGAACAAATGATAAATAATATAATCTTAAAATTAATCCCATTGTTTTTACCCTCTTTGCCTGATTAGTTGTATTTCAGTTGATGTCTCTTGCAACCAAGCAAATAAAAAGAATTTATTGCTGTCAACATGTGATGGCAGGAGAAGGAAGAAACCATGAACTACTTAATCTTCACTGATTGTGTATGGATGAGCCTAGATTTTCATTCTTTCCAAGATAATGAAATGTGCACCAGTGATCTTGATTCAATTTCTCCTACTTTCCAACCTCACACTTACTTTTTCCTCACGATGAGCTAAAAAAAGCAAATTGTCTCTCTCTCTCTTTTTTTTTTTTTTTTTTTTAAGTACTCTTTCTGTTTTTATAGTCATTATCACTGTCTTGTATTGTTTTGTCCCCTGCCACATACTTTCAAGCTCTTAAATTATTGAATATTGAAAATATTTTTTCTGGGAAAGCATTCAGTCATATTTGGAAGTAGATACCTTAATATATTTTATGATTTAACAATCAGAAATACAAAATGGTTAGTTTATTTAATTTGACCATTTTTAGAATGTGCATTTTAAAATAACCAGGAAATTGATATTTATTCTTGAATTATTACTGCTGCATTTATAATGCTTCTATATTTTGTTGAAGTAAAAATTAGAAACCACACAAGTCCAAATACAAAAATGTAAGTTTAATTGCTGTTTTTAAGTTTTTTGCTGTTTTTAATTACATATGCTTTGTTGAGGAGTAATTCTGCTTATTTTAGACATCATTGTGACTATGCATTAATTTATATATGAAAGACATGTATAATTGCTATCACTTTATTAATCATTAAAATGAAATACTTGATTTTTATACATCTTTGGATCAATTAATGTCTACTTGCATGTGATTTCTGATTTGATATGTCAGCAGTTATTAAATATTTGAGATTTAGCTATTTTTATTGGCCTACTAAAATGGAATTTTAGTAGAAAAACAATTTCCTGATTTATGTTTACATGCTCTCTTTAAGTCTTGCATTGAATATGTAGTGTCTTTATAAATACATTATATGCAACCAATGTGTTTAATATCTACCTTTTCAAATAATTAATTTACATATTTCTTATGCACTCAATTTAGGATAATATATATATATATATATATATATATATATATATATATATATACACACTCTAAATTTAGGATATATAATTTATTATTATTAATAAATTAAAATGTGGAAATTACGTAAAATAATTTAACTAATATAAATCAATATTTTCTTTCCTTATTTTTTTATCTCCCTCTTTATTCTGGCATTTAAAAGCCACTAATATATTTTGGTTTATAAGTGTTTGATAAAAACTTATTTCTTATGAAAAAAAATTCATTTTATACTAATGTTTTTCTCTTTCAAATTTTTGACAGGGTTTGGTTTAAAACTTTCTATCCATGGAATGTTCTGTTTTAAATCTGCCAAATGTTCATTTTTGCTAACTCTACAGAAACTTTCTCTTATACATTTCAAATGTAGTTTACTGTTACAAAATAGTTTCATGCTTCCATTTATGAATTGAATCTGCAAGTAACTCAATATTTTTCTTTTCTCCAACGTTATATTCCAAATAATGATAACCATTTAAAATTCCAGGCCAGTTTTATGGTGCTTGTGTAGCCATTTTGACATCACGAAACTTAAAAATAGCTTTTCAATTGCACTGATGAAAACTTTGTTTTAGTTATGCTCTTCAGAACAGGATATTACATACAGATGTAATAGCAGTCATAACAGTATTTTTATAGTATCTATAGTAAAACTTGAAAAAATTAAGTTGTATTTTCAAAATTATCAGAATTAATAATTAAATATCTTTTGAAATTATACAACTGAGAACATTTTAATGTAAGAACATCAAAATTTCTTAGTTTAACTGATTTCATCTATTATCAAAAGATTACTTTTGATATACTTGCATGTCTAAAGTCGAATGGCAACACTTATTCAAATTTAATTTTATATTTTCCTGTAAAGGTTTTTGTTTTGTATTTTTAAAGGGTTTTATTTTACTTTTATTAATTTTTGCCATTACTTCTCTTTTTCTGTAAATATATCATTTTGTCAGAAAACCAATTCTGACAACATCAATTTAAACATTTTTGTGTTCCAAGCTTATATCAATTCTCATGTATCATTGTTTTACTGCAATTTTTTAATTTAATTTTTTATTTTTCAAATGTATGCATCTTATGCATATTCTTCAATTGAACACACACTTAGAGTGAAAATAAAATGTGTCCAGTTCATAACAGTGAATGTCATTTGTCCAAAACTGGCTTCACTGAAATCATTAAACTGAATCTTCACTTTGTTAAATGGTTCACCTCACTGACAAATCCAAATATAGAAAATTAAAGGGAGTTAACTGCTATATCTGAACGAGGATTTTCTTAAATTATGTAGTGTTTAAAAATTATACTTGTTATTTATTTACTTGTTTATTTATGATGATGACTGATTGACAACCAGTCAGTTGGTTTCTTTAAGAGGATTATTTGATATCAATTAAATCCATGATATTGATTGTCGTTTTTCAGGCAACGAAAGTAAAATATACATAAAGAAACAATTAAAATATAAATATTAAAAGAGAGTAATATAAATTAATAAAGCCTTTTATAAATATTTAATTTATTTATGCATGTATTTTGGATATGACATATTTAAATGGGTTTGATTTTCATTTTTATCATTTCGTTTTTAAATATTTTTGCATACTGCTAGAATAAAACCCAAATATTAGTAACATTATCTGGATGAAGTCTTCAGTGATGAATTTCTGGAGAAAAAGGTATAATAAATAAACAACAATTTTAAAATTATGCATAATTTTAATAAAATGCTGTTCACATATAAATCAATTTTCTAACTTTTGAGTTTTTGGTGAAATGAACCATTCAACAAAGAGAAGATTTGATTTAACAGTTTTGGTGAAGCCAGTTTTCAAATAAAGGACATTTACTGTTATTGCCTCTTGAATATAATTAATTTCTTTGGTTAATTCTCATATATTCCAAATTAGCAAAGATACAGAACAACTTGTGAGATATAAATTTTCTTTTTTTTTCTATTAATTAGGAACATAAACTTGCAAATTATTTTTTAAGATATGGTTAATGTTGAAGAAAATGTCCAATTTTAAATCAGACTAAAAAAAGTTTAAGACAACATTTTTAGGTAATCAATATTTGGTTTTAAAAAAGGTTTCTTTTAATTATTTATCATTTTTAGAACTACTTTCATTCTTTTTATGGAAATTAATATACGGTTTTAAATATTAAGGTTTCTTAGTAATTATTTTAGGTTTTCATAAAATTCTTCAATTTTCTTCTATAAAATAATACTAAAAAATATTTTGCTTGGACTCTGTAATAAAATTTTTAAATCTCTTACTATATTTTGTGATTTGATTATTAAAAATATTTTAGATTGCCTGCTATAGATTAATGTACTAGTTTCAGGAACCATTATTTGTATGTCCATTCTTGAATATCCCATGCGCATGAACTTGTGCTGAAGTTGGTGTAGTCCAAATATTAATTTTTTTTTTTTTTTTTTTTTTTTTGGATACTATATGTTTGTTAAAGTTTTTCTTTTTAAATAATTTCATGTTATCTTTCTTAGAAGCATATCTAGCATCTAAAGGAATATTTTTTAACAGTTTTATGGATTCTCCAATAAGATTTAAGGGTTCATTTAAGAGCAGCATCTAATCAACTAAAAATATATTGATATTTGTAACAATGCATACAAATCTTTTTTCTCAATATAAAATTAATTTTATATATATATATATATATATATTATTATATATATAAGTTATTTGTCAGGGTATAATTAAAAGGCCAAACAAAATTGATATCTTATTTAGACATAGTTATCAGAAAAAAATATATATTTGTTTTATTTTTATTTTCTTTCTTTCTTTTTTTTTTTACTCAAATTATTTTTGCTTGTGAAATATTTACATCATTAAAACATACATTTCTTTTAAAAGAAAGTTATTACTTTATAATGTTAGAATTTCAACTATTTTTTTTATTATTATATGGAATCTTTGCAATTTGTCTGGGAATTAAGAACATTAGTAGTAACTATACTAAATAATATACTATATATGGTGTATCACATACACACAATATTGGAAGTTAGCTCATAACAGAATGACCACTTCAAAGATTCAATTCACATTACAAAAATGCTTATGTTTGAATATTTTGTCTCTAATAATGTCTCATGTGTCTCATTAAATCTGCAAGGGACTTGCATGTCACACCATACTTATTGCATGTCAGTTTTCTGGATGCTGATATCTATAACACTGAGTGAGTCCACTGGCTGGCCTACACACTTTGTTACTGATGCTGCAAGAGATATCAGGCTGGGCTGGGCTGGGCTGAATGTCATATTGGTAGACAGCTGTGTTTCTATGATGTTTGTAGCTAATGATGCTTTCCTTTGAAAAGCAGACACAACCACGTTACATTTGTTGCATGAAAGAGATTCTTTCATCCTTATCTTGAGGACATGGCTAACATCTTCCATAATATATACACACACAGACATTAATAATATGTATAAAAATATCTCCTCTACTGGGTCACCTCAATTCATTTACACCTGAATTTTGATACCTTAATGAATGGAAGTGATGCTGCCTTATTTTGGGATAGCAAATTATCTGGCAAATATAAGCCTAAACTTAATTTCTCAGAATTTTAGGGTTTGACCCTGGCATATATGATGCTAATTTTTGTCAATATAGCTGTATCTGTAAAACAAATAAATTTAATAAGGTTTAAGGTTAAAATTACAGGTGAGTTTTTTTTCCTTCATTAAAAGATATAATGTAAATTAGCTTAATTTCCTTTGAATTTCCTGGAAAATATGACTTGTTGGCAAGTAATAAATCTGCATTAACTTACCCTGAAGAGTTTGATTAGTAATCAATGACAGTTTATGTATATAGTGTAATTGTTTAAAATGCTTTTATATGATTTCCAAGTTAAAAATAGCAATTTCTCTTTGTTTAAAAAGTTATTTTGAAATAAAAAGTGTTTTTTTTTTTTTTTTTTTTTTAATTATAAAAACTTGTGTTTCCTTAAGCTGTTATTCACGAGTTGAATACTAAATTTTGATGTCCATGTTCAATATAGCAATTAAACACAAAATTTCAAACTGCCAAAATGTCTTCCAGCATCAAACTAAAATGGTATATTATTTAAATTTTCAGAATGTTTTCAGTTGATCCCTGTTTTGAAGAACATTGAGTTCTGGTTGCCGACTAACTCATCAGGGTTTTTGTTAATGCTTGATTCTGTTCTTTCAAATTAAAAATAAAATGTGAATAAATATTCCCCTTTTTTCTATACTGATTTTTATGATTATTTTTCTATTGGTTCCAAGAGACTTGTCCAGGTACAAATCATATTGTTACTAAGTTTATTGATGTTCAGTTTAATATTGCTACTTACTACTACTGATTCAGGCACCACTTGAGGGATCAGATGTTATTGTCATCCTTCAAACCGGGCTGAAAGATAACCAGTCCGATGCATTGTTTTGTTCTAGGTTCAACAAGACTACGCCCAGTTTCAGCAAGCCCTGGCTGCCATGCCCGCATCCGTGAGTCCTGGGACAGCCACTTTGTTGGCTGGTTTGCAACAGCAGAGTAAGTCTTTCCTCTAGCTCGTAGTACAGCATTGTGTTATATCCATGTGATTCAACTTTACCTTTTCTTCCCTGTTCTTTGCAGCAATCCTTTGTGTCCACCTGCCTGTCCTGCAACTCATATCCACTATTTTACTTAAGATTATAAATCATGTTCTGAATAAAGAAAATACCCCTAATTTATCATGTATACATATGGTAATGCCTTCATGGTATGTAATTGTAAATGTAAGGATGCAAATGCATCCCAAATATTAAAATGTAACCATAGTTTCAGTAAGGTATGTTTTCATTTATAAATGAAAAATGACAGGGATTTTGATGTTACATTTATGTCAAAATCAAATGACAACTTCTGTAAATCCTTGTTAAATGTTTCATATATAGTATCATTTTGCTCAATTATTGTATCAGTTAACAATATATTTATATGCATAGATTCATAACTTTCTATCAAATTTTTTACAGTAACTCCTAACATACTAATCCACCCACATTACATATTCTCATTCTATGTCTTTTTCTCTCTCATTCTCAATGTGCAGATGAAATTATAGAAACCTATCATTGAAATAATTATGCTTTTCATATGAAACTAATTCATTAAAGTTTCTGACATACTTTTTCTCTTTCTTCTCTCTCTCTCTCTCTCTCTCTCTGTGAAATATTAAGATTCCTTTTTTTTTTTTTTTTTAAAAGAACATGTATGTTTCTGTTTACAGGCATTAATCAGTGTTTGTTTCAGGTTTGCAGTATAAGCTGAGATTATTTTTTCCCAATGTTCTGATATACTTAGCTTTAGTTTTTCTGTATTTTGTCATCCTATTTAGGGTGGGGGTCATAATATAGTTCTTGACCTTTTTCAAATAATATACTTACATAGAATCTTAAAGCTCTTCTGTAATACTTAAATAATTTTATTGATAGATTTGAATAATTTAATGGCCTTCTTATATATTCATTTTTTCAATTCCTCTGAATTAAGAAAATGCTAATAATTTAACAAATGCAGAAAAGCTGTTTTGAGGGTACAAAGCATTTAGTCCAACTTCTGGTAGTCCATCTTCTTTTTAATATGATCAGATTGCAAATTACAAGGGAGTGCTTGAAATTCCCACCACTGCTGAATTACACTTTTGAATACCAAATTGATATAGCTAATTTTCATACTGAACTTTCTGAATTCTAAGATTCTTGGTTCATTTTGAAAGCCTTTACTCAAAGTTATAGCCTCTAAGAAATTCAATTTTTTTGGTAACCGGCATAATCACCTGCACACACAAACACTTTATTCAAAACTGGACTGTTCAGTGTTTCTAACAGCTGTATGGCACATGGTGTTGGAAAGATGACAAATTATATAAAGAAGGAAGGAGACATATTAAAATTCTAACAGAATGTACTCTTAGATTTAATGATTTTATTCATATTTACTATGTGTGTTTTTATCAATCCCTGACAATGTAAATGTATAAGTGGAACAAAAGTATCTTGAGTTGGTAGTTTATAATTTAACCTTGTAGCCCAACAGTGACTTATGATATCTGATAATATTCATTTAAACCTGACTCATTGATGAGGTTGAACTATAGGATTTAGAATGTTTCAAAAGAATTTGTTGTATTGATAGACAATTGGGGAATCTTTAACCTTGGTGCCCACAAAAAAAAAAACAGTGTGTCAAAAGGATAGTTTTTCCCTTGACACCACTATTATTTTATTTTAACAATAATAATTTTATATTTACAACATTCTAGAAACTGATACAATTGTATTAAAACTAATGCAATGCAATATTTATCATTTAGCCATTTCTAAAGAAATAAATATGAAAAGAATTATTTATTCATAAATTTATAAATATTTACTAAATTATTAAAATATGTGAACCAACTATAAGGAAAACCTTCCATTTCATAAATTTTGAATCAATGAGCAATTAGCCAATGTTTTGCCAACCATTCTAATAAACAATCTAATAAATAGTATTTATTATTTTTGTTGTCAATTCACAAGAACAAAGAAATGTATAAATTCACTTTCATATGTTGAGGTTTTATTAAAATTCTAATTATCATTTTTTAAAATGGTAAACATTGCTGAGGAGTGAAGTTAGTTAAAATAATAGCAGTATCAAGGGAAATAGCTGTCCTTTTGACACACAGTTTTTTTTGTTTGTTTTTTTTGTTTTTGTTTTTGCAGGCATGAAAGTTAAAGGTTGTCAACAATTGTTTCAATAAAATCTGAATAATCTTGAATGTCAGCTAAATATCAATTCATTCAAATTCTAAATAAATTGAATTTTAACTTGAAATTCTCTTATTCTCACCATGATGAAATTATAAAAGTCAGCATTATATCATGCAAAATTAAATATAAAAAACATGTAAATTTCATGAATTTCTATTGTTTTTATTAATAAATTAGTTGTTTTGTATTGTGGATTCTATGTTTATATACAATTAGTATTACTGTTGTCATGTATGAGACTATTCAATTGAGAATTGTTATTTATTTTTGTAATCTATTAAGTTCTATGCATATATTTTATTCTCTTAAAATTCAGGATATCATTTTATTATATTTGTGGTGATTTTAGTAGGCTGCAGTTTAATTTGTTGAGTCTTTTACATTCTTTTTAAATTTTGTTAATGATAGATTAAAGATTTTTTTCACATGTAAAGTTTTTGTAAAAGCTGGTTTATATCTTTGATAGCAATAATTATTCTCCAAATGTTTAACAATGTTAAAATTTTGCAAAAATGTAAATTTATTTTTTATGTAGACCTTCATTTACAATTCTGTGGATAATTTTAAACTTTCTCAGTGCATTGTATAATTTTTGTGAACATTTAGCAGTTTAACAATCAGTAATTTTGCATATTAATCTATATTTGTCCTTGTGCTGAAGTAAACTAAATTTATTAAATATATGATGTATAATATACTTTTGTCTTTGAGTTTGATTATATAAATCAACATTTTTAAAGATGTTTTATATTTAATACATTACATGTGATGAAATAGGTACACCCTGTCCAAGTGGAAGAATTATTGAGGCTGACATGGCACAGTTTAAATGAATAAAAATTTATGCTTAGATATTGAATGTATTAAAAGTATAAATACAATTAAAACTATTTTTTAAGCTATTTGTCATTTTGTGGCACTAAAAAAAAATTAAAAAAGTTAAGATTCATAAATAGTTTGTAATTAAAAGTATATTTTCAGTTTTGGAAAAAGAATTATTACAATACTTTGGATTAAATAATGCGTTTATTAATAGAATAGTGTACAGGGGGAGCAAATAGCACAACAAATGTCAGTTACAATTCTACCCTGTGAAAATGCTGATGATGCAAGGGCTTTAGATATAAATTAAAAAATTTTGTCATTCAATTATCAAGATGTACAACTTGGTTGAGCATTAAACTTTCTACCACTTTTTTTGTTTATATCACTATTGTTATTAGATATCCCACATTGTAATAGCAGCGGTTTTGTTAGGAAAGGTGATATGTTGCCTGAATGTGGACGTAAATATACTGTAGAAGACTGTACACTTTTGCTTTAATAAATTGCTCTAATTTTTAATTAAAACTGCATTCTTTAATTCAAAATTATGGTTAGATTTGTCAAGATGAGTGACTAATGTATTGAGTGTATTGTTTTGTAAGACCCCTTTTATTTAAACTCTGAGATGTTTCAAATGTGTATTTCTTGTGACATTTTTACAGCCTATTCTGTAAATTCCTGTTTCAGAATGAGGTCATCTAGCGCTCTCTCTCTCTCTCTATATATATATATATATATATATATATATATATATATATATGAGGATAGCTGACCTAATATATGTCAAAATAAATTTAACTTAGTAAAATAAAATGTGTACTTTTTTTTCCTACTCATTTAAGTTTATTTTGATATGTATGATTTAGCTAGATCACAGCTGAATTATTAAAAATGACAAACTGCAGCAGCTAAGTATCAGTATAGATTTCAAGATTGAGAAAATGCCTGTGTGGAGTAAACAAAGCACACTTCTGGATTTAATTTCTTATCAAAATTATTTAAATCAATAAATCTGATAACATTTGTTAGATAAACATGGAATGATGGAGTAAATATGATGACTGAAATGAAGGAAAATAGCAAAATTATTTTAATTTGTTTCTAAATTTGTGTGTAAAAGATGCCCATGGAAACAAATTAAAATGTAGACCATGAGCAAAAGTGAAAATGTGTGATTTATAACTTGCTATTAATTTTTCTATCATCCAAAATACTATGAGCGTTTTCCTCTCACTCTCTTTCCTCATTCTCTCTATCTCTCTAACGTTATTTTCCTCAGCAAAAATTGTTTCTCAAATCTTGTTATCTGTAATCTTTATTTATTTTTACTTTTTTATTTTTATTTATTTTTTATTTATTTATTTATTTTTTTTGCATGGTGAGTCTCGGCTGTATAAAATTGTAGGATAATAATTGTTTTATTGATTATTTCTGAATACTGCTAATTCATTTTTATATTTATTTCTATTTTTCTTTTCCTACTCACTTATTTACGTTTATCTGTTTATTTCATTTTTAGAGCTTTTTTTTTCTGTATCATTTATAAAGTACTATGATTAAATTTTATTTTTCTCATTAGCTTAGTACAGCTTTGCCGTCCCTCACAAATTCCCTATGAAGGTCACTATTTTCAATAGTTGAAACGATGTTTACACGTTTATTGAAGCCTCCTTTCATAATTCAAGGCTTGGTTGGGTTTTTCAGAGCACAGCTGAAATTGACTTTTTATTATTCATTTTAAATTAATTTTATTAATGATTTATTGTATCAAGGTTATCAATATTCATGATGACTGCACAAAAGCTTCTACATAATTATCTTGGTGTTTTTTTTTTCTTTTTTTTTTTTCTCTCTCTCCAATGATTACCACAATTAATTTTATAATTTTCATAGGAATTTATAAGAATGTTTATTAATTCCCTTCTTTTCTTTATTCCCTCCCTTCAACATTCAGGGACTTCTTTCCAGGAAATAATAGGCAATATAATCGATTCTTTCTGTTTTGTTACTGATATATTATTATACCATAAAATAAAAAAAAAAAAAAAAAAAGAATTTGTTTAGATAAGTGATGGTAGCAAATTTGTAGAAGAGTTATCTTTGTTCTTTCTTTACGATTATTTTTTTAATATTTGAAGCTATAAGTGATTATTTATATTTTGTGTTTATTTGCTTTGAAATTTTTATCAGTATTATTTTTATGAGTTTTTCTTATAGTTTTATTTCTTAACAGAATTATTTTATATCTTATGTATTAGATTGGTGGATATTACTGTTTGTTTTTTTTTTTTTTTTTTTTTCATATATGAAATGTTATATTGAAATGTGTTTTGCAAGTAAATGGTAAAAGTTTGAACTTTTTTTTTTTTTGTTACAACTGAAAAATTCTAGAAAACAAGAATAAATATAAACATTACAATTGTTTCTAATTTTGGTGCTGTTTGTTTTTTTTTGTTTTTTTTAATCCGATGTTGATATCCGTGGCAAAATATTGGTTTATCTAGTTTAATTATCCATTTTATAAATTACTGCTCAAAACTATAAAATATTGGTTTATGAAATTTGCTTGTAGAGGATAAATTCTGTTTGGTTATCTACCTAGAATTTTTAAATTTAATATTGTTTCAATTTTTAAAATTTTCTTCAAGTAATTTTTCTTTCATTTTATACAAAATATCCAGAAAAAAATGAGTTGAACCTACATTTAAGGCATTAGGCCCTAGTTGAGAGAATTATCAAACAAGATTGAAGGATAATTCAATTTATCATTCTTATATTTGTAAGTTAATTTGTACTTTAAGTGTTACAATACAGTTATTAATGGCTGATCTAAAATATATTTTCAATATAATTATTTGCATTTAAAGTATTGTTAGTTTTCATCAGCTCTGCATCATTTCACTGGAAATAAATTTTATGCTGAACTTATCATCTACTGAAAGCAAAACACTAGAAAGATTTTATATTAATGGATACTTGTATTTGGAGCAATTTTTATTTAGCCATTCTCCATTATAATTTTTGCGTTGGATTTAATTTTGTAGATATGTTTTTCTCCTGTCATAATGTGTACCATATAATTTTTTATTTTTTGTTTTTGCCCATTGTCATCACTTTAGGTAATTGATTTTCTTAAATTTCAGTATAAGCTACACTTAATATTGTCATTAGTACACATTACTTAATTAAAAATTTATGTAGTGCAAATAAAGACATTGAAATGCTTTAATATAAAGATAACTCTTCTACTCTTCACAATTATCATATTAATATATTTATTTTGCTAGATCTAGGATTGGAGACCTGCCCATTAGCTTCTGATTTGATATTACAATGTATGCTTTCTTTTTTAAGCTGTTTTGTTTTTAAAAATAAAAATTTATATCCCCCCCACCCTTTATTTTGTGTTTTTGCTTACAGCTTCTGCAACCCAGAATTGTGCACCTGGTGGAATTATTGGTCAGCAGCAAGGTATTCCTCAGTTAAGTGTTTCCCAACAGCCTCAATATTCCCATGTACCTGGTCCAGGCAAGTCCATTTACTTATTCACTGCATTGCTTGATGGCTTTATTTTCTGTTTTTACTGGTTTTTTTTTTTTAGTTCATCATTTGTAACTGAAAAATAATATTGATTAGAAAGATTTCTTGCTAATGTACCATGCACGTCATAATGATTGTGATATTTTGTATTATAATGTAAAATATTGAATTTTTATTTTGGTTATCTCTTTTGTTTAAATCTGTCACTAGACAAATAGAATGCTTCCAACATTGGAAAACTTTTCTCTTTATAAATGTTCTTTGCTTTTCACTTTCAATCCTGTGATTGTTCATTTTCATTGAGTAGCATATTTTTTCTTTTATTTTCATTTTTTAATCACTAAAATGAACACTTAATGTATCAAATTGAAATGAAAATCTTTTATGAGTCTAAATGGAGGAATAATATTTAAAAACATTTTATATTAATTGCATACAAAATGCAATATAAATATAATGAACATTGAAATAATCTCTAATACTTGACACTAGTGATTATTACAATTTTAAGTAAATGCTGTTTATTCAAGGAAATTTCAGTTTCTTTCATGAAAAAAGAGCACTTTTCCTATGTAGACTAAAGAAACAGCATTCATAAAAATTAACACAATGTAAATTTTTTCAATCACAAAATGGTTTAGAATTCAGTCAGAGATTTAACTAACTTTTAACTTCTTCAGGAAATAATTCAATGCATAATTCCAAAAATAAAATCAATTGTCAAGTCTTTCACTTTTGTCTTATTTTGAAATCACAGTAACAGATTTTTCTAGGTTTGCAAACTCCTCATTTTATCATTTATTAAAAAAAAATGCCATTTAAAAATGTTAATTTAAATTTATATTTCCAGGAATGCAAACAGTTACTTCACTTCCACCTACTTTCCAGCAAGTTTTGCCAACATCCTCTGTGGTTCTTCCAGCTAATTCACTGCCAGCTAGTTTAACAAGCATGCCACCACCTACTCTAGTGTCTCAAGCACCTGCACAAGGTACTAACCCCCAATTCCCAAAAAGATTTCCATGTAAATAGACATTTTATGATTGCTAAATATGAAAATTATTCAGAACAATGTCTTTGCTAGCAAATTGAATATTTTATGAAAAATGTATTTTTTTTTTTCTGTTAGCATTTTTATTACTTATTGTGATGTGAGAGGAGAAAAAGCATTAATTTACCTTTCCCTCTTCCCATCAGTGACCTGTTTTGGAGAAAACAAAAGGAAGAAACTGACGACTGTAGGAGGGGGTTCATTTATTATGTGAAGGAGAGAAATGTGAAACCTGGGTAGAAGGAATAAACAAAGGAATATTTTTTTTTTGTTCAGCAGTCAGTGCAAAGTGTGGATAAAGAAGGAAAGTGAAAGTGTGTCTTTGATAAGAGTTTCAGTCTCTCTGCCTTTGAATCAGTAAATGTAGGAATTCTTTCTTCTTTTTATTTCTTTTGGCCCATTTTGTTTTTCTCTTTCCTTTAACCTCAAAAGGAGATCGGTTTTTTTAATATGATAATATTGTGTGTTAGATTATTTCTTTTAGTTCAAACCACACTTATCAGTAATTATTGATTGTGAAATATTGTTAATAAATACTAATTGCTGATAATGTCTCCTTTTTCTAACCTTTTATTAGTTTTCTTTCAGCTAGTTATTCAAATTTCTCTTGAAATTATTACTCCAGCCAGTATATTTAGAATCTGCAAAAGAAATTAATCTTTTTGTAAGAAAATTAGTACTTGTTTGTAGCAGTGCTACCCACAAAATTACTTCAAATTTGTTGATATTTAAAGATGAGAGGAATTGCAAAAAAGAAAACAAAATAGAATTGAAACAATTTTTTTTAATGAAAGAGTCTGCTAGAAATTATCATAGCTAATTCATAAACTTTGATTTAATCTTCAGTTGCTATTTGTCTGCTTGTATTCTAAGTGATAAAATGTAAGTCCTGCAAAATTTTTTACTCTCTTTAAGGAGAGGAGATTTCTGCTTGAATACAACATTCTGAAACAAGCTCTCTGCATAGCTTATTTTTACACTTTCCTGGTGTATTGCTTGGACAGCAAGGTGTAAGCTCCAGTTGATCTTGATCATGGGCCCTGATGTTTTTGCAAGTTTAATATCACCTGTGGAATGTGCTCTCTTAATTCCTGATAGCAGCATTTTCTTTTGTCTCTTCAAGGAGCAGTTCAAAGAACTAAAATTCCAGATTTAGTAACAATGTTGTTTTCTTCAGCAGTATGTTTTCTGTGCAGACCTGATGCTTTAGTTGCAGACCAGGTTGAACAGGTCATTCTTTATTAGTTTTGTTGATAATTGTGTCTTGTGATCCATCAAGTGGCAAAATATTGATGGAAACTTTTTTAACACACTCAAAATCCAGGTCAGCATGCAATAGTTACATTATGGCTTGTAATGCTTGAGAGCTTTGATATATATGAGTGCACAGTCAAATAAGTAAGACAATCATGAAAACTTTGTTTCCGTACAATTATTTTTTTAAATTGGTGGATTGTATATTGGATTTGAAGCATGATGGTTGTCATTTTCCCAAATGTGCGCTGTTACCATGCTGACAGCTGCTAATACTTATTTAATGTATATATTGATTATGAGATTGAATTTTTCTTAGTTTTGTTAACATTATCCCATTAGAAATAATACGATGGGTTGGATATTTTCTATATGTTGTCTATCTTCTACATAATTTAAAAATAATCTCATGATTCGATTGCCAACTTGGCCAACTTGGCAAACAATTTGGGACTTTTTTTTTTTCATCATTTAGGATTCCTTCCCTCACAAGTCTTTTTTTCTTTTCTCCTTAAAATAGCATTATATACCAAAAATGTTAGCTTATTTTCTTCCAACTTCAATATAATAATAAAAAATGTGCCAATTTTGACAATATATTTACAAAATGCATTCAATAAAATTTTTAATGAAGTTTCTTAAAACTAAATGCCTTCTCATTACTCTATCAAACAAACTGGCCAACTTATATTTGTAATGTATGTTATAAAATATTCCCAATTCAGCTCACAAGATATGTTCTTAAATTTAATATTTAAAAATATATATTTGGGTGTTAGAACATTGTTAATTAGTGTTAATAATTAAATTCTAATGATCTTAACGGGTTTATTTTTCTGTCTGCAGGTATGGTTAGTTCTGCTAATGCTGGTGGTTTAGTGATCCCTGTGTCATATTCAACATCATTAAATCCTGTACCCATGGTCACAAGTCTGTCTACGACACCACTTCTTTCAGTTGGCAGTGGTAAGAAAGGAAATTGTCATACTAATTATATAGAGGGATTTGATAACATTCTCTTCTAACAAAAAAAATTTACCATTATTAACATTTTCTGATAATTTAAAATCTATTTTCATAACATTTACTTGATTATTAATTTGTGCTATCAAAAATTACGGCAATATTTACATATTTGATAAATACAATTCAATTTATCTGTGATCTAAAAATAAGAAACTAGACAAATAAATTGTGCCATTTTATTTGTAATACTTAAAATAGAAAATCTTCTTTCCATTATGACATGGATCAGTAAACTTATGGGGAAGTGGACCAGTTTTTTTTTTTTTTTTCTGGGTCAATACAAACAAAACACTTTTATTTTTAACCACATTAAATACTATTTTTCATTATGAATAAGCATAAACATTAATATGGTTTATTTTAGAGTTAGTGTTGAAGATCTATAAGAATGATTAAATTCTTTTTCCAATATAAAACTAAATCAGATTGCTTCAAAATTTGTGCTTCCTGTCATCAAAATTGACTGACCTAGGTTTCATTTTGAATATCTTTAAATATATTATGCCAAAATTAATTACCATAAAATCTTAAAGCACAGTATCATTGCTCTGGGAAGCATTTATAAAAAAAAATCTGTTTCTCTTTGTATTGGTCTTTCGTCATGACATTGTGGATTTGATGGGAGATCCTCAGTTATATATTCAATTGAAAAATCCTTAGAGTTTTTGAGTTCATATTAAGGTTGGAAAGATGCTGCTGAAATTAGCTTCACTAATTATGGTGTGATCAAAATTGATAAGAAATGGAAAATTAATGTCATGTTTAAACTATTTACAAGAAAAAAAAAATTGGTAAAGTTGTTCATCATTTGGAATTTGAGAAAAGTCAGCTTATTTTAAAACTCTTTCACTTAAAATATATATAAGCATTATTGCTCCTTACAATTTGAGATTGAATTCATTAATATTCCTTGTTTGTAAATAGTGTCATAGATCCTCATCTGGAACTAATATGTTGATGGGGGGATACAACCAGCACCAGGCTAAGATCCATGTATTCTGCACGATGATTCGTTTGTATCTTATATTCCCTGAATAACCTTCCGTTATGGGATCACTGAATAAATATTAGGGTTATTTCCCTTACATCATTAAATCATCAGCAGATAATATAAAAAGAAAAGAAAGTAGGTGAAGTCCAACTCAATTATGGTCTAATTGAACTGGGCTTTTCCGGGTTCTTGGAATAACACATTCAACCGACCGGTGACCATAAATGAACAAAACGACATGGTGAACAATATAATTTTTAATTAACAAGAACATGTATGTGGCAACGACAATAAAGACATTGTATCATGTGAGCTACAACATATATTGGGTTGGAATACGACAAATATTAACGAATGCAATGTTTCACACATATACAGGGGTCTCAAGTGTCTGGTTTTACGAATATGGAAAGGTGTGTGCAAGAACATAACATTATTGGGTGTTTGCGAATCATAGTAATGCTGGGGGTTTCTAGAGTATACACTTATCTGAGATATGCATTTATCGACCAAAGGTGATAATAGTCTCTTTTCTTGTGTTCTTGGTTCAGCGGCTGGAGCTTTATGTTCTCAACTGGGATCACATTCTCTGCCTTATATTTGAATTTCAGGATTTCTTCTTAAGGCGATGATCTCCGAGGGGTTCAGGCCAATTGCATCTGGACTATCTTCACATTCTTGGCATTTGAGTGGCTGGTCTGCTTCTCTGCCTCTGGAAATGTGTTGTCTCAGCGTGCGACCTGGGACATGGATGTTGGCGTGACTTTACGTCCGCTGGTCTCTTCGATAAAGCTGCTTTCCTTTTTCTCTTCACATGCGCACCTCCTTTTTGGTGCCTAATTTTCTTGACTGCTGATTGCCTGCTTTTGACCAATCGCGTTGTTTCTTTTATGTGCTATCTTACTGGGTCTGAATCTATTTTTAGACTTCGCCTACACGTGTTTCTATGTGTGTCTGCTTTGGGTTCTGTTGTGGAAGTATGTGTGGGCTTGCATTTGTCACAATAGTGTAAAGATGACTTATCTTGATCAGAAAAATTTCGATCTCATTGCTGAGTACAAAAATATCTCTTAGCCATGATAAGGCAATTCCATATATTTCAGTTTCAATATCTTTAAAAAATACTAGTGATGATGTATGAATGCATCAGATCAAATGACATTCACTATTAATATGACTAGTTTCATATGAAAGATCTGAACATTTTCACAAAGCACTTGCTGATGAATGATACAGTTAATTACCACAGATGCTGCACTTTCATAAATTTTTGAAATGTTGTCTAAAAAACTTTCCAACTCCACTCATATTTCTTTTATCAGTTTTAATAAACTTCAGGTGTTTCCAATTTAAATTATAGTTTACAAAGAAATTTTCAACCTCCATAAAAATATCTTTACTTGATGTTGCATAAATATTGCTTACAGATGCTAATTTTTCCAATATTTCAAAGTTAACATCAATTCTTTGAATACAAAATATCAGACACTTCTGTTGATTTATCAAACGTCAAAAAAATCAGTAGAATCTTTTTTTTATGTTTTTATCACTGAGTCATAATGTCTTTAAATTTTAGTTATTGTTAGGGCACCTTGACATAGGTATAATGGTTATCAAACTAATCTGGTTGATTGTTAATACAGTGAATTCAGTTGCCACTTGTGGCCTTATGCTAAACTATGCTAAGCTTTGTGAATAATAACTCTTGGTTATTGTTTGTGCTGAAAAATTTCTACTTTTGAATGAATCTATTTTGTCAGGACACACTTTTTCAACTGATATTATACAAGGGTTAGTAAACTTTTCTTTTTTTGGGTGTTGAGAAATGAACTACTTGAAAGTTTTTTTATTTGCAACTCTAGTAAAACAAAATATCAAATTTTAAAGTTTCATATTTGAACACTGCTTTTACCAACCCCTGCACTATGTCATTTGAAAAATTCAATACATAGAGATGAACAAATTGTCACCAATCTAGATTTTGATAACTTTAAAGAAATGGAAAACCTAAAAATTTCATCATCATTACACATGTAGTTTAGAAGATATGATCTCTTGAAATTTGTTTGTTTTTTCTGCAAATTTATCAATGGTGGGACTACCATATTTGCCCAATCCAGCATTTATGGGATGTTGTGGGGAGATTCTTACACCAAGGTCCTACACCTACAAATATCCAGAAGTTGTGGATAAATATCAAAATGGCATTACCCAAGATCTCTCCAGAGGTTTTATAGAATAGAGTTTCTGTGCTTTGCTGGGCTAAAAAGGATCCTACACAATACTCAGCACCATCTAATCACCTTTGGTACATCAGTATATATGGTATTTTATAGTCATGACTATCAGATTCATAAGAATTTAATTTTTTGCTATTGCCTAACTACTGACTTATTATGTTAGATATTTTGATGTTTATTTCTTTATTTTTTTTAAACAGAATAATAACTATTTTTATAATATTTTCTGGTTTCTATTTAAGGTCCACCACCTCACAGTACTCCACCTGGTCAGTTGGATGCTAGTGGAGGTTTACTACCTAATGCTACTCTACCTCCTCCAATATTGCAAGTGTCCACTGCTCCTGGAATGAATCAATATGCTGCTACCACTAATGATCCTTTTCTTAGTAAGATCATTGTTGATTTTTCAGAAAGCCTTTTTTTTTCTTTTCTGCTTTATTTTCTTTCCTTTTAAAATTAACTATTTTGATTAATACTGTGAATTTTGAAACCAAACACTTACTAATGCCAAAGACAACAAATTTCATTACTTCAATTCTTTTGGTGCTTACATTTTACTAGTAATTCATTAGTATCATCAAGAATGTTTTTAATGTATTTTTATGCAACTAGTATCATTAATTAAAAACATTTTATTATTATGTAAATTTTCTTTAGAGTATTTTCTGCAAGCATTATATTAAGTGAGGTAATATAGTATTGTCCTATGATAGATGATCAGTAATCAACTTTCCCCCGTCTGACACTATACTTTTTTCTCTCATAACCAACATATGCAAATAGGTATAATCCTATTTGCCAATCCCATTACACCTTTTGTTGTTCTTGAATTTTTACAACCTCTTTCCTCCTCTCCCAGTTGAGGTTTATGTCCCATTTTTTTTAATGGAAATCTTGGCCTCACCATCTCTTCTTCCATGTCTGAGTTACTCCTGCTATCATCATTTTCCTGATCTGAAGAACTCATTCTTTCTTCTTCATCAAGATCCTTGTCCATAACATCTTCAATTCTGGGTCTTAAATGGTCAGAATGAGCTATTAGGCTTTTTCCTTTCTTTGATGGCCTGTTAGGTGCCATTTGCATGATGAAATTAGCTCACTCAGGACTTGCTACTTTGTCTTTTTTATGCCACATTTTCATTGGTTGAGTAAAACATTGTTAATGGAGATTTCCCATTAATGCAAAGGGGCTTTGCAATCTGTCTGCATATGGAATCATCCTATAACTAAGCAGTAACTTTGGTAAGTGACTGTCTATAGTATCTCTACTGGGTGGAAAATACCTTCAATCTCATTGTTGCTGTCTGTACCATTCTTTCACAATGCCATTAGATTGTAAGTGATATGGTGGTGTTTTGTAGTCATTATTTTATCTTTAACAACATCAGGCCATCCAGGAAAAGAGTCTACTAAAATTAGAAATAGTCCCATATCATTAATGTGTGCATGGTCCATATGAACACAAGACCATAGTTCCATTTCTTTAGGCCATGAATGTATTCTCCTGTTGAAAATTCATTTCTCCACATTTTTGGCATTTATGTACATATCTTTCCATATTGTGATAATACCCTGGCAGGAATGCCTCCAATTTTTATCTCCTCTGTGTAGCTGTTGTCCAACAATGCATATCATTATGTACACGTTTTAAAATATTTTACTGTCTCTGGTGGTAGTATCGCATCTCCATTGCATATAATGTTGTTCTCTAACATTGACTTATGCATTATTTCTTTGTAAGGTTTTTTTAGCTTTGGAAAAATTAATCCACCTGTTTCTTTTTATTCCCTCAACAAACTTGTTTTATATCTGGTCATATAGAGTTTCCAATGCTAATCTTTGTAGAGATAATGTCAATTTCAACACAATAATATTTTTTCATCCAGATTTCCACTTTTTTTTTCTTTTTGATCCTTATTAAATTGCAACCTTGACAGACCATCAATATGTGGTATTATATTTCCTTTTACATAATCAATGTCAAAATCATGTGCCATTAATTTTATTGACCACCTTAGAATTCTGGAAGAGGTAACTTTTCGTAGCGCCTTTCTTGAGTTAAAAATAAACTCTAGGGGTTTATAGTCTGCGCTCCAGACAATGGTCACTGCCTCTTCAATATTTGAATAGTTTATTTCTGCTACCATCAATCTTCTTGAAAGGTACATTATTGGACAGTCTTTTTGCGATAAAATTGCTGACACAGTTCAGTCATTACATCCATAGTTAATGTATCTTCCATGGGATCAAAGTGTAGTGGATTGGTAAATAGGATTATACCTATTTGCATATGTTAAGTAGAAGAAAAAAAAGTGTATAGTAAAGTAATAGACAGGTAGAAGTTGACTACTGATCATGTGTCATAGAACAACAGAATAAATCATCGATAGGATGTTTAAGTTACTTGACTGAACCAGAATTTGTCAAGACATAGATCTGGTATTTGCCGCTCCATGCTAGGGCTAAAAAATTGAAAGACATCCAGGCAATAGAGGGGAGAAAATGAAATAACTGACCTCTTTCTAGCTTTGGCAGGTTGTGAAGCTATAATGAAATTTTCTGTTATGGCATACCCCAAACAACTGGAGAATTTGACTTTCGTCAAAATTTTAGAAATTACAAAAAGGAGTTTACAACCTAAAAAGAAAATTGTCATAACAGAACCAAATTTCTATGATTAAACAGAAACAAGATGAATCAATTGTGCAATATCTTCACAGATTAAGAGAAGTTAGCAGATTTGTGAATTTGAGAAACTTGGAACAAGGTTTGACTATTGAGATGAATTGATTCAATTACAGTTGTATAGCGAAGAAAACGGCGACTTACCTTGTCAAACCAAGCGACAGCGCATCGCATGTATTCTACAATGGAAAATGTGGCGAAAAAGAAAATTACTTACCAAACAAAAGGGCACGTATTCAGCATAACATGCTGAAAATGGAATATTTGAATTAAAAAAAAAAACAAAAAACCAACAAACAAGTCCGTCGCAGGAGTCTCTATCAAGTATGGTGATATGCAAATTACTGAACATCCTCTCCCAGCTGTCGACGAATTGAAAAGAAAACGTTGGGCTGATAAAAGCTGTTGGTGTTCTCGAATCGGGGGGGAAAAAGTCTTTTGGCTGCCGAGGGAGTTATTTTTCTGACTGGTTGTGTGCATTGTGATTTGTGAAATAGTAGTTGCGAATCGAGTTTTCGGCATTTTCTTTCTGTCTGCGATGTTCTAGTCTGAACTCAGTGATTTATTTTCGGCGAAGCGGAAATAATCTGCGACAAACATTTCCTTTGCAATCCCAGATCGCTTACAAGTTGATTAAATGTATGACTGATACATTTCATAAATATAAAATATTGGAACAATTACAATTGAATAATTTTCTCTAACTGCATGTGTGTGTAAGTGTAAGCATTCTCAAAGCAAATTTGTCGCAGATTACTTTCACAACACAAAGAAAAATCACTAAAGTACAGACTCGATATCGGGGACAGAAAGAAATGCTGAAAACTTCGATTCGCCGGGTACTATCTTAAATCACAATCGGTAACCAGTCAGGAAAATAACTCACTCTCCAACAAACGTCCGTAGCCAAAAATGCCCGAATTTTTTCCTTCTTGACAGATCGCAGACAAAACACAAACTTTTTTCTGGGGTACCTGATTATCTCTTTCACTACACTCCCCCTGTCACATAAGTGACACTCATCAAATGAGCCTCTTTATTCTTAAGCTTCTCCAGAGCGGGGCGACTGTTGGAGGAGATTGTGTGTTATGTTCTGAGGTTTCTTCTGATCTGACAACCTCATGCACAGTTTTCATCATCTGAAGAATGATCTGAAGATTCTTCTTCTCTGACAACCTCACGCACAGTCTTCACCATCTGAAGAGGTGCTAGCCCTACCTCCAATGGTAATTATTTGTTCACTTTCTGAGCACTCACTGCTAGTGTCACTTGTTGACGTATCTGTACCTACATAGCGACGCAAGTCCTTTATGTGTCTTGGTATGCCATCAACCAGCACAGAGCGCGAGTTACTTAGTCCAGTGACATGCCCCACCCGGTACTGGGTTGTACACGGGCTATGTGGAGCTTTCACCCACACACGGTCGCCCAAGTCATACGGCGAACGTTTGTTTATCCATTCAGTTGAATGCGTTGCGTCAGTGTCTTGTAGCCGGACTTTGTACTGATAAATCATGTTGGCTGGCGCAGTTGAGGGCAATACATTATTGTCTCTCGGAGTAACATTGTACCAATACACTGCCTCCATTATAGAACACTGCTTCCTAGCAGCGATTCTTTTGATGCTCCGATGACATCGCCCGATTATGCCATTCCCTGATGGGACATACGCGCAGTGAAATCTGAGGTGTACCCCCCACGAATCCACAAAATCTTTGAATAGTCCACTGCGGAATGCAGTGTCGTTGTCAGTGAGGAGTTCCGTCAGAGGTCCATGTTCAAAGAACAATGACCCCCAAGTGGTCAATGACGCTTGCGGAATCCTGTCGATGCAGACGCTGCCAAATAGGGAACCGGGTTGGGCCACAGTCAAGCTTAAATGTCTGTCGGATAAGTGGTATTCCAAGTGGTATTCACTTAGCAATTTTTTTGCCAGTGTGTCTAGGATAACGCCTTCAAATGAGCATCTCGCTGCAGCCTTTGTATGTATCCTAGCCTTTCCGTAAGAGTGTCTGCTATCCACTTATACACGCATGCGAAATCTCCGTGAATAAATGCAATACCTTTGCATTCCATTGAAGGGCCGTGGTGACTCCCCTGATAACCAGCGGTGTCTAATTTTGACAGGTTGATATGTTGCGTATCCTTCTGGGGCGCAACCAACACGCATCTTCCACGACAGTTTCACCTACTTCAAGAGACACTCCTGTTGCAAGGGAGCTCGCACCGACCCAGACGTTAAATTCACATCCGTCAACGCACCATTTACCACGTACGGGGTCGTCTTGACGCACCCTAGTAATGCCTTCCTGGCTATCATGTGTCTAAGGGGAGCATCATTTGTTGTGTCATCCCAGCGGAAGTGACAGAAGTCACCCCACGTTTAATAAATGCAGTTGCAATGCGGATCCACCCGCCCACGGAAAATGTCCCACCAGCTTTCCACATAAAGAAAACACGCTGCATCGGGTCATGTGTTTGGGAATGTCCAGGAGCTTCGCTTCCACGTTTCCAGTAAAACATGTTGTGCTCCCCCAGACCTGCAAGCCGAGCACACGCCCATTTACCATCCTCCAGTCGTTCTGGGTTCTTACATTCGAGCCCAAAGTAAGCAAGATGCTTTCTCACCTGTGAAGCGGGTACTAATGTTTCGTTGATGTAGATGTCGTCAATGTAAACTGAGTTTGATGTTTCCAACTCCCGGCTTCTGAGAGCCTTTCCATCAGCCGTTAAGGCACGTCCATCTTTTGTCTGCTCCACTGTCGGCCGTCGAACCGCTCGTGGTGACCGAGAGCAGCCGAATCTATTAAAGCGTGTCAGCGTTATTCCATTGATCGTTACCTTAATCACAGGGGCGCCTCTTTCATGCTCGGTGCGGGAAGAGACCGGCGCTGACGTCACGTCGCCATTCCATTTCCCGGACACTTAGAGGCAATATGACCTACTTTATGACATTGGTAGATCGAGACGTGCCTTTCGCGCCGACCCGCTGCGCATTTCTTTGCGTTGATAGCGGCAGTCTTTGGCAAAATGATTCGACCCAGAGCACCGATAGCAGGTGGCAACGCCATGGCAATGAATGGCTGGGGTCAGACCTTCTTTGACTTCAATTGGTTGAATAACTGCGGCCACTGGTTCATCAGCCTCTTTTTCGTCGATCATGACAGCACGGGCTCTGGTCAACAATTGATTGAGCGTTAGGTCTTCCATTCTGGATGATGCATGGAGTATCTGCTTAACATGACTGGGCAATCCAGAAACGAAGGCACATGTCATCCATTCTTCAGGAAGCGGTGCGATTGGAATGGCGAGCTTCTTTAATTCTGCCAAATATACGTCTACTGTCTTGCCAGGTCGCAGACGCTGTGCCTGGAATTGGTTGCAGGCCATAAACCGGTCAGTTCCAAATGCGGTTAGTAGAGTGTGCTTTATTTGCTCAATGTCACTTTTCTGTTCTTTACTCAGCTGCCTATACACAGCAAGGGCACCGCCATTCAATCGCAGTGGAAGAATCCGTTCAATCTTCAATATCTCGCATAATTCACAGACCAGTTCCACTTTTTCGATCCATTCAACCACAGACTGTCCTCTCGTATCACCACTGAATTCGGGGATCGTTTTATATCGAACGGTCTTTCCGCCATCTTGCGAGAGACAAAGTAAATGCTGAAATAGCTTGTAAGTGTAAGCGTTCTCAAAGCAAATTTGTCGCAGATTACTTTCATAACACAAAGAAAAATCACTAAGTACAGACTCTAGTATCGGGGGCAGAAAGAAATGCTGAAAACTCGATTCGCTGGTACTATCTTAAATCACAATGCGTGTAACCAGTCAGGAAAATAACTCACTCTCCAACAAACGCCGTAGCCAAAAATGCCCGAATTTTCCTTGTATAGATTATTTTGTATACTAATAAAAGAATGGATGAGTAATATTTTGATGTAATGCATTATGTTTTGCATGCATGTTTTGACATTGAAAACAAGTGCCACATTGCACTTTCTGCATACAAACTGTCTGGTGGCACTTCTTGTCAGAACACACACCACAATCTGGGCAAGGTGGCCTTTCACATTTCAGATGCTTAGGGTTGATTAGAAGGTGGCATTCTGTTAACACCAGCCTTTCTGGGGTTTTTTTGGTCCTCTTACCTCTCCTGTGAGATTCTCCTGAGTGGTAGCCTTCCAGAAGTGAATTTTTCAGCACTGACACAGTGAGTTGACTTTGCTTTTCAGAGACCAAAGCATTGCAGAAGCAGAGTTCAAGCAGATAAAAAAAACAACATTTTTCCCATCATTTGAAAGATCAGTGCAGCACCATGTAGTATGTTAGCTGTTTGTCTAATTCACCCCCATGTGCTTGAGAGTAGGACTGTACAGCACAAGGCTTGTACACAATCCTGGTATGACTTTCATGATGCTTTGAACAGACTTCTTTTCTGAAGGTCTTGGCAGTGTGGGCAGTCATCAAATTCACTGGCCCTTTGTCATACCAGGAAATATACAATATGTCTCTGTGCCTGATTTGGTGGGGTGGGGAGGATTGCTTATTTGAGACTTTGCTGCCTTCATTTCACTTGGCGCATGCCCTTTCAGTTCACACGTCGTGTACTGCATGCCCCTGTTCCATGTTGAGCTATGTAGTGAAACCATGCAGGGGATGAAAAAATTGTCCATGTAAATTATATGTCCCCTGTTCTGCATATTCTCCAACAGGGAGGACACAACTTTGTGGGCAACACCAACTGTCCTTGGTGCCCAAGCTGTTTCGTGGCTCAAGTACAGCTACCAATTGTAGATGTAGCCGATTTTTGAGTCCGCTAGTCCCCAGGCTTTCAGGTCCCACTTGGTTGGTTTTGCTGACATGTACATCAGTAGACTTGTTCTTCACTTTGAATGGAATTATACTTTAATCCACTGAAAGTTCTTTTCTGGGATAAAAGTATTTCTGTCAAAGTGGCATAAGTTTTTCAGAAAATGGCTGGATCTTGAATGCCCTATCATGTTCAGGGTGGTCCCTTGTTTTTGCATTTGAATTGTCAGAAAGATGAAAAAAAAAATGACAAAATCCTCAAAAACCTGTCTTGTGGCATGATGTATCTGAAACCTGACATTTCAATAAATTCATCCAGTGATAAGTATGATTCAAATGACAGCAAATGAGAAGTAAAATGGCTACAAAAGCCTTCGTTTCATCAAATGTGACATCCTTCCACATATCTACATATGCATAGACACCCATATTTGTTCCTCTCTTTTCTTTCATTTGACATGCATATTTATTTGTTTCATTGACAAATAAAGTTATTATTTAATTGTTAATGAATAAATCAAATAATTCACCTTCAGAAAGGCCATCAGGTAAATACATGGGACCAGTAGCTTCCATAAAATTAGTCAGCCATGAATGGTAGTAGCCTCTTGGCACCTCATGGTCATCATGGCTTTTCTCCTCATTACTAGAGTGGCTATCTCCTCCATCTTTGACAAAATTATCATTGGAGTCGGAATCAAATAAAAAGCTTATGAGTAAAGACTTCATTCAATGTTGAAGCAGCTATTTTTGTTTACAAATAATTGCGATAGAGTTTATGCGAATTTATTCAATGTCAGAGCATGTGTATAGTGTAGAAGATTTCAAAATGGCATCAGAAAATAGAAGTTTAGCCTCATTCCAAAGTAGTAGGCTATTTCTAGCTTAATATACCAGAAATAGCAGTTGACATGTGTTTATTTATAGCAACCCTCTTGAGGTAATGGAATGTACCTACAGTGTGCACAGGGAGAGAATTTTCCAGTGACATTTTTCATCTCCAGTGTGATGATGGTTAAAAGTAACACAAGAAATGCAAATACTGTAACTATGAGAATGAAACTGACAGTAAAAGGTGCCCCACTTTTAGAAAAAATTGCCACAATTGCCGAAAAAAAAATTTTTCAGTTTGTATGCAAAGTTAAAAAGAAGATAGTATAGAAAAAGTGGGGAAAAAAGAGTATTGATGACCTTTTTTTTTTTTTTTCTTTGAAATACAAAAACCTAAGGAAAAGAATTCTTTTGAAAAAAATTAAATTGCATGATTTTTCCAGTGCAAGTGGATATGGGGAGCAAGGTCACTCTGATCCCAAGAAATTACTGGGAATAGTTAAACTGAAATTTTGAAAGAGTCATCTGAAATTGAAACAATTAAAAAAACTTAAAAAGTTTACATGATGATGTGCATTGTGGAATAATGGCTACACAGAGGAGATTAAAATTAGGGTCATGGTTGCTAGAGTATTAGAAAGATATATACACAAATGCCCAAAATGTGGAGAAATAAAAACTCTGACAAAAGAGAATACACTCATGGCTTAAAGAAACAGAACCATTGGGGTCTCATTTCCATATGGACCACCATACACACATTAATGGCATGGGAATATTTCTAATTTTAGTAGCCTTCCTTTTCTGGATGGCCTGAAGTCATTAAAGTTAAAAATAGAAAAATGAATACATTAAAACAAATACTAAGAGTGGTATTTTCTAGAAATTTGGTCCCTAAAACATTGGGTATCAGACAATGCACCAGAATTTTGTGATGAAGATCTATGTAATTGGTTGAGGCAGATAACTAATGTAATGGGATTGTGTAAAGTATGGTACAGACAGTAAAATTTGGGATTAAAAGCATTTTCCCCAAGTAAAGATATTATAGACGGTTACTTAACAAGGTTACTGCTTAGTTATAGGACAATTTCACATGCAGATTGCAAAGCCCATTTGCGTTAATGGGAAAACAAATAAGATCTCCATTAACAATGTCTTACTCAACAAATGAAAACATATGGTTTAAGAAAAACAAATTAGCATAAAAACTTAATATAAATTATGTATTTATTTTATCAGTTACTTTATTTTTTTTTTCTTGCAGCTAATACTAATTTAGCAGGTGGACAACCAACACAAGTAATAGTTGGACAACAGGCTTTGACACCTGTTGGAATGTCTTTGGCTGGTGGTACACCCCAGATGGCACCACAGTTTGCTTCACCAGTACCAAACTCAATTGCACCACCTATCAATACATTGCAACCAGGAGTTCAATTTGTTTCACAGCAGCAGATTCCTGCAGCTGGACAGCCACCTCCACCTCCAGCTTATTATGGACAGGTGAGTCAAGCTTCAGAATTACACCTATTAGATTGATGTTCAGAATGAGAAACAATATTTTTCTAATAAGAAATGATATATTTTAAGAATTAAATTTTTATTTATACTTCAAGTTTACTGGTACTGCCAGTTTGCCTATGAGCTTACCTGCAACAGCAACCTATACAGTGACTCCCACTACTTATGCTATAGCAACTTCAGGGTATGCATATAATATGGGACCACCTAAAGATGATGCTGGCCAGCCACCTCCTCCTCCACCCCAACAAGCTCCACCCTCACAATCTCCTGTGCCTCCTCCACAACAACCTCCTAAACGGAGATTCACAGAAGAAAAACCAGAGGAAAAGGTTCCTGAAAACTTACTTGGTTATCAGGTGATTGATTTTAATTTGGCATTTGTTTTCAATGTATTTCATTTCTCTGTATATTTCTTCCTTTACTTGAGTTTTTCTTTCTTTTTCAAATTAATTTGTCTGTATTATTAAGTTACATTGTTATCTTTATCCCAACTGGAACATAAGGCTGCAATCATACTCTTCCACTCAACCCTGTCTTGTGCTTTGACCTGTGTTTTGCCTTTTGATAGACCTATCTCTAATACTTTTGTCAACATTGTCCTCCACCAGGTGGTTTTGGCCTGCCTCTCTTTCTCTTCTCCGGTGGGTCCATCTTAAGGTAACTTTAAGTAATCTCTTATTGGACATACTCAGGACAATTACTGAGTAACTTACATCTCTTAATATCAAGTAGCATATTCCTACTGCCTGCCCTCTTACACAATTCTTCATTAGAGATCCTATAAGGTTAGTAACTATTACAAATCTTTTAAAGGTAGATATCAACTTTTTTTATGACTTTTATGCACCAACACTCAGCAGTATAGAAAAGGACAGCTTCAGCATTGGCCTGATCATAGTTTTGAGGATGTATTTCTTTGACCTATTACAGAATCAATTAAAAGTGCCTCTGTCTTTGTTGAGATGGGCCTTGTTGGAGCCCTATTTTCACTAGTTATGAGGCTTGAATCTTCAATGCCACTCTATTGAGGGTAATGGTGATGGAGTATTGTTGAAGCCTGGAAGCATATGTTTTTTTGTTTTTGTTTTATTTTATGTACAGACCAGTTTGCTTTAAATAACTTCAGAGCTGATTAAATTTTCCCATTTATATTAGATTTTTTTAAACTGCTAGTTTTTTCTTTTGCTTGGGGAGACATAAGCACTAGTTTTTTTTTTAGTAAAAAAAAAAAAAAATGTGTTTATGGGTAGATGGTAAATACAATACTGTTATAAAAAGACTAGTATTGCATCATTACAAGTGTTACAAAAATGAAAAGATTGTCACTATTGTCCTGTCCAGCTGAAATATCTGGTGTTTCATTACTTTACTTAAATGCAACCCAGTCATTTTTAATTGTGGTTCTGCTTAAAATAAACACCTATGAAATCATTATTTTAATTGATATTTACTTTTAATTTTTTAGTTTCCTTTTTATTGCGACTTTCAATCCATTAGTTCTATGGCAGTGAATAGACAGCATTGAAGGGAAATAAGATATGATTTCAATGAGATTTAAACTCTTTGTTGTTTTTTTTGTTTCAGAGAAGCCTTGTAAGTTCCCAGCTGCTGCTGTAACCACCAAACTGCAAAAACTTGACAACATGCAAAAGATGAAATATAACTTTTTTAAGTCATTTCATTACTATTACTACTAAAAACAAAAACAAATGTAGTGCTGATATAGTTCATGAAACAAAGTTAATAGGCTTAAAATGTTAGATTTGATATCCTGCAGCCTGTTCATGTTTTTATAGTTTAGGGAATTGTATGATAAAAGTTCACAAAACCCAAATTTCCATGTTCACACACACAGCCTCCTCGCAAAAATCTCATTTTATAGGAAAAGTCAGTTGCTTTTATAGCAGTTTGGTGGAGCATATAAATGGATTAGCATTTTTTTTTTTTTTAAATCCCTTCCACTCAGTAAAACTTGAACCACGATTGTTTAGCAGAAGCTAATTTACATGAACTTGCTGTCATCATTCAGTGGTGAAGCATTTTTCTTTCTTTCTTTTTTTTCCTTACAAAAGCTGCATGCAACACAAGCGTTTTTGCTTTCAGGGTATGCCACCATTTTCTTCTGTATAACCAAATCTCATGGTGACGATTGCAGATATGGTAATTGAGTGTGAGTCTTTTAATTCTGGTACTCTGTTGTAGGTGTTCAATCTCCTCTACTTCCTGGAGCTCACTTTCTGATGAGTTACATGGCTCATTTGGCTCAGGTCCTGAGTTACCTCTATTAAAATAACCATTGGGTGCTCCATATACATTTGCACTTTCAGAGGATGTGCTCGATGTACTGTCTGTGTCGCAATGGAGCCAACAGCTTTCAGGTGACACAGTATTCTGTCAAAGTTGCATGTGGATTGCTGATACTAGCTACATGCCTCATCTGATATTTTAAAGTGCATGTTAGTGGGCACAGAAACAAGGTGTTGTCTTTTGGTCTGGCAGTAGACTACCTCTATGATTGAACATTTTTTCATGGCAGCAATTCTCTTAATACTGCGATGATTTCTCTCAATCATTCCATTGCCTGCAGGGGCATATGTACAATGCAAGTGGAGTTAGACACTCCATTTCACTAAGAAGTCTTTGACCAGCTGGTTACGGAACCATAGTATCATTGTCTGTGAGTAGTTCTTCTGGTGGACTTTGGTCATAAAAGAGGGCCTCTACATGAGTGATGATAGCTGTAGAATTCTGTTGTTGCAGAGGTCGCCAAATTGTGAATCGGCTAGGGCCACAATTGATCAGTGTCAGGTAGTGTCTTCCATTACAATGAGTGATGTTCATTCCCAATCATTTCCATGCCTTAGACACACCCAGTTTGCCTTGTAACTAACATATTGGTGTTGGGTCGATTGATTGATATTCCTTGCATTCCCTAGCTACTACCTTAACATCTTCAAAGCTAGGGGATGAATTTGCTTTACAAAATACAATGTGCGCTTTATGTCAGGATGCTCACTTTGGCAGTGTACAGTCCTTATTAGGTCAGGATCAGGTGCATTCACTGATGCAGAGCAGATGTGTTCAACTTCTTTTCTTACCGCATCTAGCCATTTTTATGGGGCTCTCGTCCATCTGTCAGTCAGCTTGGCTCTGGTCTGATCCAGCTAATGTCACATTCACTGACAGCTCATACTCCTTCACTAACTAATATAACTTCTCTAGGATACTGAGTCATCTTCTGATGAGCATTTCATTTGCAGCTCAAGTGTTTATTCTGGCCATACTTGTGAGTGTTTCAGATACCCACTGATGGATACACACAGAATCCTTGAACAGATGCATTTTAGTTGTGCTCCATTGGAGTGCGAGGTTGAGTCCTTTCAGCACAGCATCAAGCTCTGCCAAGTTGTGTTACATCTCCTTCACTGGATGCAGCCATTGATGACAGCTCCTTCAAGTTCCAGTGAGACCCTGGTGGCAAGGGAGCTTGTGTCGATCCATGTCTCCAATGTGCGTCTCTCTTCTCACCCTTGATGTGTGCAGGGTCATTGTGACATATTCTGCCAGTGAGTCTGTGATCATGTTTTTAAGTGTGGGAGAGCCATTCACCTCATCATCCCAACCAGCTGTGACTGTTGTCGCTTTGCATTTATAAAAGCTGTTACAACTCTGAGCCATCTGCTAACAGGTAGGTATCCCAACGTTTTCCCACATAATGAAAATACCACGTGACGGGTTATCAACTTTGATACTTCCAGAATGTCACCTCCAGTAGAGGGTGTTGTGCTCCCCCAGACACACAAGCCAAGCACTTGAGCACTGTTGTTTTTTTTGTTTTTTTTTTTTAACCATTTTGCCTCCTTACATGTCAACCCGTAGTCAGCTAGGTGGTGTTGTATGCATGCTGCAGATGCTATACTTTCATTAACATATTTGTCGCCTGTGTATTCTGACATTGCTTTTTGAATGATAGATTTCATTATTACTGGCACCATGTTCAGTCCCAAATCCATTCTGGTTAAATAATACCTGTGCCCTTTGAATATCACCATTTGGAGTGGCCATAGTGATTTGTGTACATGCACTTGCAAGTAAGCTTTCCACAAGTCAAGGATAGAAACATTAGACCCTCTTTGCCACTATTTTCTCTACTTCTGCACACACGTCTGCATCAGTTATGGGACATTGTCAACATACTTGTTCAACTCATGATAGTCTAACACAGGACACACATTCCCCTTGTTCTCTTGTATCACTGCCATTAATGGGATTAAGCCTCGGAGGGGACCTAGTTCTTTTTGTGTTTTTGTCAAGGTCGGTGTTAAAGTCTGGTTTTAAGGGCTGCACATATTGGTAACTTTCGTCGTGAGAAAACAGCCTTGCTTGAGCTGATTATTTGAATTCCATCCAACTTCCTGATAATGTCTATCCCCAGGATGAGGCCAAATCCCAGTAGTTTACTGTCTGCTACTAGAACTTTGACTTTAACTGGATTCAGGTTATTAATTTTAAGCTTTATGGTACCAATTCCTTGACTCTTAAAGACCTCTCCATTGGCTGTCAGTACATTCATGTTCTTTATGCTCCAAGCAACACAATTTGAGTTATTCAGGAGAGAGTGGAAACAGCTTGACTTGATCAATGCCATATATGGTCTTCCATCTATGAGCACTTTTATCACTGGGAGTGCCTCATTTATTTCTTTCGTGGAGGGGAGATTGGTGCTGACATCCGGTTTGTTTCCCTGACATTATGTGGTAATATGACCTAGTCCTTGGCATTGAAAAACGTACTTGTTGACAGGCCTTTGGTGGACTGCTTGCACTCGTCCCTGTGGGTCAATACTGGTAATCCTTGGTATAATGATTAGGTCTGTAGCAGCTGATGTTGGTAGGACACTTAGTGAAGGGAATGTGTGTTTCAATTGGAATAGTAGCTGCCATGACTGGTTCTTCAGCTGTCATTTCAGCTAGTAGTTGGCTTACATTCATCTCATCCATTCTCAAAGATGCTTCACATGGTTCAACAGTCACATGCTCTGATATTCCTCCAAGCAGTGAAGCAAGCCTTTGTTAGTCTGCAAGAGTATAGATGACAAGCCATAAACTGTTCATAGGCCATGAATTTGTCTATTGAAAAGGCAATTCGTAGTACTCTCTTTATTTCTGAAATGTCTGACTTTTCTTTGTTGCTAAGCTATTGATACACAACAAAGGCACTGCTGCTGAAACACAGTGGAAGAATGTATTCCAGTCTTTTTATCCTGCACATTCTGCAAACAAGCTCTGCCTTGTCAATCCATTCAAGTACAGGAGGGCTCATAGCTGTACCATTGAATTCAAGAATCAGTTTCAGGTCAAAGGACTTGTCTGCCATATCTTAAATGCCAAAATAGCTTGTATGATAAAAGTTCCCAAAATTCAAATCTCTATGTACATACACGCAGCCTCATCACAAAAATCTCTTATAGATTATGGAACAAGGCTTAAAATGTTAGATTTGGTTTCCTGCAGGCCATTCCTGTTTTTATAGTTTGGCACTTACCAGGCTTTCCTAAGGGAAAAGAGACATGAGTTTGAATCTCACATAGAGCTTATTCCTTATCTCTGACCTATTATATCTGTTCACTGCTGTAGAATTGATGATTTGATTTAAAGTTGCAAAGAAAAAAATGAAGTAAATACTAATAAAAGATTGATAGTAATGGTTGACAATGCTTAAACTGATTTAAAACAAAAAAAAAATCTATGAAGAATTTTGTCATTCAACATTCTTTTAAGGTTTCTAGTAGGATGTTTGTACTGTAACCTATGTGAATAAAAGTTTTAAATGAAAAAATTAATTTTAATTTATTTATATTTATCTTAGCATGGACCACCACATTTAGCCAACATGATTGCTTCAGGTCCCCCTCCCTCTGTGGTTAGCAGCCAACAACAATGTCCAGTTTCACAGTCATTCAGCCAGCCAGTTGTCACTGTAACACAAACAACCCAAGGTTATGACGATTTCAGGTGAGCTCTTTATTTATAAAAAGAAATTGATATTAGTTAATTTAATTTTCTATAGTCTGCTAAATGTTTTAAAAAATGACATCTATACTTTTCATTATTTTTAAATGAAATGCATTGAAAATGTAAATATATATTTGTAAAAGCGGATAGAAATACTGCTCTAAGAAATTAAGTTCTTTGTTTCTTTAGCACATCATTAAAATGTAAACCCCTCTATTGTCAATCTATTGTTCTCAGTCCCTACCAAAAATGTGCCAAAGACATAGTATTCTTGGTGTTTTCACCTGGCAGTGTTATTGATCTTCATGGCAATGACATGTACACATCAGCATTCTGGTAGGGTGGGGGGAATAAACAGATTTTTATGGGGTTTCACCCAGTGGTCAATGTGATTCCTACAGAATTCAGGTGTAACTCCTAGTGAACTGTGGTAATCTTTTTGTCTCTGCTGAAAACTGGTTTTATAGTACAAACCAACACATCTGTTGATACCAACAATAGATTTAACAATAACAAGTCAAAGGACATAAAAGTGCATAAAGAATAAGGAATTATTAATCTTTCTATATTTGCCTGATTGACAGTTTTTCAACAGGAATGTTTTCTTGTAGTAATTTATAGCAAAATAAGCGACCTTGATTCTTGCGCTATATTCTTGTCTATTTAGGCCCATAACACTGGTCAACAAATATGATATTCTTCTGGAGCAAATATCCACCCAATATTAATCCTTTATTTAATTCAGGGGACATATAAATTTATTGTAATGTTTTGTTTTTTTTACCCAGCTTGCACAGGCAAAACAATCATTCCCTCCACTCTCATTAAATCAGATGACTTCAACTAATCCCTCACTATATTCAGCTGTTTTAATTTTGCTTAATTCATGATTGATATAGAAGACCCTGTATCGAGCGATGCTTTAGTTTTACTTCTCAATAGCATAACGTCACATGTCAATTCAACCATTCTATCATGATCACATAGACATTTCACTTCTTTCTTTTTCCTGCTGTCAGGCAAACTGCATCCTTCATAATCACCCTCTCTATTCATCACTCTTCTTACACTCCTACAAGTGTTTTCTCATTTGTTCTTTCCTCTCTATTCAAATGACTGCTTTATCCTTCCTTGAGAGTTCATTCCTCCCAATCTCTCACAGTGCTTAGCAATTACTACTGTCTATTTATTTTCTATAAGACCCTTTCATATCCATGAATAAACTTTTTTTTGTGCAGTTGTTAAAAAATGAGAGAAAAAACACTGTGTTGGCTCATATTGTATTTATTTGACATAGCATAATGTTATCATCTGGGTATTGTTAAATATAGAGTAAGTATTTAGTGTTCATGGTTGTGTAGGACAAAATTTGTTGTGGTCATCCGGAGATTACCATTTTTATATGTGGAATCACAAACACTGTGTCATGGCTGGTTGACAGATACCGTTTTTAAGGGGAGGTAACTAGGTATGCTGTAAAAAAGTTCCGGGCTTGTGTAGAAGCTAGATAAAGAAAAAAACTGTTAATGAATATATTAAGTAGACATAATGTGTCTAATTTATTTAATAAAACCTGCCTGAAATATATATATATATTATGCAGTGTTACATTAGAACATGCACATACTCACTACAAAACGGTACATCTTGTTTCAACATTAAAAAACAAAAGAAAACTTTTTTTAACATTTCACCAGGTGGGGAAACACAATGCGACTGAAATATTTTATAACTGCATTTCTAAATAAAATATATCAGCCGCATCGTTATTCCCCACCTGATGAAACGTTAAAAAAACATTTTTTTTGAATCTGCTACTTAATTAAGCTGTACAAATATGAATTTCTTGAAATATCATGAAATTAGTGTGTGGGGTGGGTAGCAGATTTAAAAAAAATGTTTTTACCAAGATTTTCTAAAAGAGAAACATTTCTAAAATAATTTCATTCATTTGTGAATAAGTTCTGAATGTTTCGTTAAAATCCAACTGTTGAATTTTGCAAGAATTTCTAAATCAATTTGTTTTTCACTTCAAAAAGGATGGTAAAATTTCCTATACTAATTTAATTATTATCTAACCAAAATTTTAAATGTTCTAAAATATATATATATATATATATATATATATATATAATTTAATAATAAAAAAAATCTTTTCTCTTAATAACATGAAGATTTTTTACAATAAATTTTTGTTTTTAAGTTTGGGTCATTTTTTTTTTTTTTTTTTTTTTTCCATCATGTATGCTCATTTTTTAGCAAATCTTTGTGTGTTTGTGTAAAGATAGTTTGCCTTTTATACCTTTGCATGCCATATATTCTGTAGGGATTTTAAAGCAATTTTAAATGTATATATTCAAGATATTTCTACATTTCAGGACTCAAGGCTTTCCCAATCCACCACCTGTGAACCAGCCAGCATTTGTGACACCACCACCTCCTCCACCTCCATCTCACAGTCCATCTCCAGAAAGATCAGAAGTTGATAAGCATTTGATGCCACCTCCACCACCACCTGGTGACTGTTTTTCTTTTTAAATATATACTTGAAACCTGTGAAAACCTCTCCACCTCTCTTAATGTCATTATCTTTCTTGATTGAGTTTTTATTCTTTATAAATTTTTTTTTTTGAGTTTTATTGAATTTAAAGATGTATTTATAAGAAATTACCATCAATAAAACAGTTAGGAAGAAAACTTATAACTTGATGGTAATTGATATGTTTGATAAATAACTAAATTTTTTTAGAATAATTAAGCTGAAAATATGTACAGAGTTATATTATCATTTGACAAATTAAATCACTAAAACTGCATTTATATTTATGAAAGAATAAGTGTTTACATTAATTCAGTTCAAATTTTTGAAATCCTATTATTTCATTTTGATAGAAATAAGCTGCAAACATCTTCCATGATTACAACAAACTCCCATCAACTTTATTAATTCAATTTGCTTTTTTACTTGTTCTTCTATGTGCTGTGTCCCTTCAGGACATGAGTCCCCATGACTTTCTACAGTTTCCTATCCTTTGTAGCTCTCGACAATGTTTGTTTTTTTGCTCTCCCTCTCTGTTCTGCCATCTATTAACACAAATTTCCTTTTGTCAGTCTTGCTTTCAATATATCCTGTGTCAAATTTTCCAAAATGATGTGTCCTAGAAATTTCAACTATTTCTCGTTCTAAGCATAAGTATCCTTTTTATTCCTATTTTCCTTAAAACTTCCCCATTACTCACATGTTCTATACATTATATTCTCAGCATTCTTTTGTAGAATCACATATGTTGCCTCAAGTCTCCTCTTCATCTGTGATGAAATTGTCCAGCATTCATTGCCATATAAGAAAACTGATATTACATAGCAGCTGAGCACTCTTTCCTTTGTTTCTATCAAAATTTTTCTGTTTCTTAAGATTTTGGAAAACATCTGTAGCTATCCCAGTTCACCTTCAGATTTTAGTGTTACATTTTTGCCCACTATCAAAATACTTCCCAGATATTTAAATTTATTTATATGATTGTCTAATGGTATTTGCATTCAATTGGCTTCTTAGGCAGCATTAAGAAAATGGCTCTACTGATATGTTCCAGTGTGTCACCACTGTCATATAGTTATTATTTCTAGGTTTCTCTCTTTCATCATGGAAGAGTTTTCATTTTATATTCAAAGTATTCTTTTTTCTTTTTCTACTATGAGTGTTCCCTCTTTTGATTTTATGCATCCTGTCAATAAGCACATTATTATCCTATGATTTCTTTTATGCATATCTGCTTTATCCTAGATGCTCATTTTTCTATGTCTGCACACTTTTCATTGAGCCATTCTACTTGTGCCTGCCTGCATTTCTTTCTAATTTCTGTGTTTAATATTCTATATTCTTTACCATTCTATGAAATTGTTTTCTGTTTCATTGAGCCATATTCAGAATTTTATCTGTTGTTCTCACCTTTTTTCTATTATCTCATTGTCATCACTAAAGCTTCTCTTTCAATGAGAAATGAAAGGTGCTCCTGGTTTTCAAGAAAATGAAAGGTGCTCTTGGTAGTGTTGCAGGTAATGTCTCTTAATATTATTTAATTTTTCTTACATTTGTTTCTTTTTGACCATACTTATTTGACTTGTAGGAAAATTCATGTTTCCATTGTTTTAGTTTTTACAAAGTTGGTAAGTATTTGACTGCATTGGCATAAAAAAATGGCTGTTCCATTTTGAATTTCCAGTTTTATTCAATTCACAGTATTTCCTTTTAACATTGTCAGCATACATCTCTTTGTAATTTGGGTTATTCAGGAGTTATATTGTAGTTAGGGGTGCTGCTTTGGTTTTCTTTCATTTTTATAGCTTTCTGGTTGGTGGTTGCTCTCATAGTCAACACTTTGTTATTCAGTATAAAACTGCATTCCTGAATTTTTTATTGGTTATGTAGTCAATCTGGTTCTTTGTGTTTTCTCAGGCATAAGCTTATTGGATGCTCTTAAAGCTAGGTGTTGGTTACTATTTGGTTGCTTTCTGTTCACTATTGGGCCCATTACTTTACACTCATTATGGGTACCTAGTCTAACTTGTCAGTTATTTTCTCTTCATTCTTTTCATATTTTAGCATTCAGGTTTCCTATGATGATGGCAATTTACTGCAAGTTTTGTAAAACTTTTCAGTTACTTCCTCTGTGTTGTCAGTGCATAAACAAATGTAATGCAGTATTAAATGACTTTCCTTTCAGCTTAACTAGAATTCTATCAGACAGCTGACAGTATCCGAGAACACATTTCTTGGTCTAGTATTAGTCCTAGTCTTTTATTTTTCTCTACACCTGCATATATATTGATGTAATATTCTTACATTCCATGTCCCTAAAACTAATTTTTGTCTTTTGCGAACAGTTGCTGGATGATAGTAAGGTAACACTTATTTGATCATGTTTCTCCTTTCTGGGTGAGGGGTTAATCCCAAGGAGCTTGGCACCCTTCACTCTGTTATTCTTTACATTAGTTTTGCAAACAGTAGCTGGATGACAATCAGGTGTTAGCTGTCAATCCTTACTAGGCAAGGAGTTATTCCCAATGGATTGTCATATAGTATCATGGTGAAAAATTGTAATTTCTGAAGTAGAATGATTTTAATGAATTATGTAAAAAAAGAATATATGCTTGAGAACAGTGGGTATTTGTATTAATCATGTTTAATGGTCTTTTCTGTTTAGATTATATTACTGGTAATTTTTTAAAAATCCATTATGATTTTTGATTAGATTAAAATATATTTAATTCTAGGAAGCAAGCGCAGTTCTCAGCATCAGTCTGCTTCTGAATCCCAAGAACAACGCAAGAAAATGAAAGGTGCTCTTGGTAGTGTTGCAGGTAATGTCTCTTAATATTATTTAATTTTTCTTACATTTGTTTCTTTTTGACCATACTTATTTGACTTGTAGGAAAATTCATGTTTCCATTGTTTTAGTTTTTACAAAGTTGGTAAGTATTTGACTGCATTGGCATAAAAAATGGCTGTTATATTAGGCTTATAGATAAAGCAAGTATGCATTTGTTGTCTTTCTCTTTGGTGTTTAGCTGCTGAGCCCACTTTAACTTTATATAAATAGAAATAGTGACCACAAAATGCAATATACACTTCTAAATATATTTATAAACCTGTTTCACTCTACCATTAAGGAATTTTTGATAAAATACAGATTTTTCAATTATAATATAGATTTTAAGGGCAACCACTTTTAAATTGATAACCTAATTAGCAACCTTTTATTTAATTGCTCGCTTTTATACATTTTTTTTAATAATTTTTGCTAAAACAATGGATAAAAACTAACATTTTGTTTTCATTAATCATCATTTTAGTTTTTGTCATTTAATCTTTTTAGCTGAATATTCTTTATTATTATATCAGAAAATTGAGTTTTAAATTTCTTTTATGCACCAGGACATGGGTGAACATTACTCTCCACAACTTCCTAGCCATTAAGTCACTAAGCAATGTTTGTCCCCTTACTATATCTCCCTATTCTGCCATCCACAACAAACTCATTGGGTATGTTGGTCCATGTTTCTCGCTGTTGCTCTTGCCTTTGATATGTCCTGTGAGTGCTAAATTCTCTTAAGCTCCATTTTCTCTTTTTGTTTCCATTTTCCTTAAAACTTCCTTGTTACTCATATTCTCAGTATTCTTCTGTAGAACCACATCTGTTGCCTCAAGTCTCTTCATCTGTGAAGAAATTGTTCAGCTTTCATTACTCTTATGAGAGGATTTATAACAGTTCAGCACTCTTAATTTTGTTTCCATTGAAGGTTTCCTGTTTCTTTTATTTTGCTGGAAAGCATCTTTTTGTTATTCCATTGCATCATTGGATTTCTGTATTACATTTTCTGTTGTCTGTTAAAACCATTCTCAGATAGATTTCTGTACTTGCTTTATTTTGACATCTTCAATTTCTACCTTGCATCTTGGGGCTCTCTTGCTAATGATCATACATTCTGTCTTTATACAAGTGATGGGATCCTGGTGGCTGAGCAGTCTATAACCTAGATGAATAAGTATCCATGTGAACTGCAACACTCCACTTTGGGTATCCTGGGTAAAACGATAAACTACGTCCAACGCCTCTGATCAGGAGGTTTTGAGGAGCATGGAACCACCTTAATTGCTGGTGTTTCCAGGTTCTTCCCTGACCTGGGGTGGTAGCACCTGTTAGGGTACCAGCGATGGGCAAATAGTTTACCCCCAAACAGGGGTCAAAAATGCTGTGGAGGTGTAAAAATAGGTATTAATACCAGCAATACATTTTTGAGAGAAAAATTATTACCAGAAATACATTTTTGGGAAATTTTTTTTTTACCAGCAATACTTTTATGAAGGAAAAATTATTAATGGCAATACATTGTTGAGGAAAAAATTATTACCAGCAATGCATTTTTGAAGAAAAAGTTATTACCAGCAATATAATTTTAAAGGAAAAATTATTACCAGCAATATAGTTTTGAAGTAAAAATTATTACCAGCAATAGATTTTTTAGAAAAAATATTACCAGCAATAGATTTTTTGGAAAAAATATTATCAGCTATACGTTTTTGGAAAAGATAGAAATAGATTTTTGAAGGGGAAAAACATTACCAATTTACATTTGTAAAAAAAAAAAAATTATTACCAGCAATAAAAATTTTGTCAGCATTAAATAAGTGATTGAGGTTGATATGCAGTAAATCAAAAACCAAACCAAACTCCACTTTGGCCTGTATTTCAGCTATATGGATAATCAGAAGGGCCTGATCAATTGGTTGGTCATTAATTCAGAGAGCATAGTCACCACATGACACACCTCACATACATATACAACAAATAAATTTTTTGGACTAATTTGGAATTAGAAAGGGGTGGCTGTAGGATCAATTAGTTTGGAGGAAAAGGGTTGTAACATAGCTGTTCATCTCAAATTATTTCACTTTCTTGGTTGGCAACGCAGAAGGAAAAGCAGGTTCTTGTAGCCTTTCTCAAATATGATTATAACATCTCTGTATCACAAAGTCAAACGGATTTCCTTCTTCATGTTTCCCATTAAATTGAACTGAGGTAGGTGAAGTGCATGTATAGTGAAGTACTGAAAACAAAAAACAGTAGCAAACAAATCAGCCAAGAGACTGCATATTGAATTTGACTATGAAACACTCAGCACAGAAAAATTTTTCCATTGACCAAATTATCTCCTTTCCTAATTTGAAAGATCATTTTCTTTAACATAACTCAAAAAACAGTGAAAATTATGAATAATGGAACAATTTTAGTGGTGTTGAAAGAAAGAAACATGCTGAGATTCTCATGAAGATGATATTCCATAATAAAAAGATAAAATGTACCCTCACAAAAAATACATCATGTGTAGTTCACAATAAGGCACTCTCTCTCTGGAGGAGATAAAGCCTGAATTGAAAAACCAATGAGTGGTAGACATTAGAAGAGTGTTGATTAAATAGAACATGCAAATTATATTAACAAATACATACATTATAATCTTCAACCTTCCTAATATCTTGAAAGAAATATGCAAAATTCACTACATTATCAGAAGTTTATCTACCATGAAGATAGATGCAGCAGATGTGAACAAAGAAAACGACCACACCACAGATGAATGTAACCACTTCTGCAAATATGCAAATTGTGGAGAAAAAGAAATGACAGTCAAACAAAACATCTCCTTTTCTGAAGCCACCAAAAGTGTAGAGGCATATATGGGAGCAAAAGCTACTCACAGATTGTAAAAGAAAAATGACAAATACAAAGCACTTATAAAAAAAAGCTACTACAATTGATGCCAAAACACCTGGCCCAAATTCATAAGTGAAATTAAACCAGTAATAAAAAAGAATTTCTATTTGAATTTCTAGGATGAGGAGTTATCATTATTTATACATTATTTACTATTGCCCTCATCGTTATTGTTATTATCACGCCATTTCAGCTGTTGTGCTCTTATAACCCTGTTGCTGTGTTCTTTGCTGACTGCCACTCTTATTCTGGTCTGTCTGTTGGTCCATCTCTGGTGAGCCCACTCTGCACCAATCCTGCACCCCACATTGTGCTTGAGTATCTGCAGGAATATCCGTGAAGAACCGTCGAAGATCAGACTTGACTCCTCTCTGTCCTGGTTATGCTTGAAATTTAATTAACTTCAATAACACTCATTAACAAGTAAAAATAACAACTTTTATTTATGGTACTATGTTACATGTTGGAAATTGTAACAAAGGAAAAAATGATTTACCACAACACAGAGCTAAATCACAAACAAATATTTAATTTACTAAAACACAACATAAAATATATACAAGATAAACAATTGAGGCATACAAAAACAGAAAACACAGAATTTACAGGTGAAGTGTTATGAGGGAGAAGGAAGGGGAGTCAAGTCTTTATCACGTTAGGGCTAGCGAAGTAATCTAAGTGCTAACTGGAAATCCACAAATGTGAGTTTTGGATAATTGATAGTTTGGTCAATGAAAATAATCAAAACTCTATTTACCAGATTTGTTCCATGTGGTTCTCTTTTGGGGTTTTTGTTGGTTGGCAACTTTTCCTAGAGATTCTTTCGGCTGGATATAATAATCCTCGAATCAAAAAGCCGGTGTTGATACTGGCAGAAATTTCTTTTCACCAACTGACAACCCTTTTCCAAAAACCTATTTTTATAGGGGCTAGCACCTAATTAGCATATTTCTAGATGTTTCTTGAATATACTAGAATGATCTAGAATCTTCCAAACATTCTATTTCTAATTTCCAACTACTTCATGAATGAAAACTTTTTTGTATTAACAAGTAGGACTCTGTAGAATCCCTTACTATAGAAATGCATCCTTGTAACAACTATGATTGATTAAGATCATGAATGCATAAGCAAAAGGGATTTGTAGAAGTTTCTCTGCATAAGGAATTCTTATGCTGGGTTGAAGAGGTTGACTAGCAGTTGCAGTTACAGCTAAACAACCTAGAGTCCTTCAACGTTTTAAATGAAGGCAGTTGATCAAGGGAATTCAAAAAGCGGTGCAGAGAATGGGACACTAGCAGATTGAGGCACCACTGCCATCCAGCAGGGAGAGTGTCTATTAGCAGTGAGACCAATTTGATCTTGCTACTCTGCTCTTTCAGTGACTGCTTTTTATGCAGGAGAAAACCTCAATTGCATTGCTCTGATAGGTTAGCTAATAATAATGCTTGACCAATGGTCTTGTGTTATACACCTTGAAGGGGAGGAAGGAAAGCCCCCAAGAACACAATATGATTGGTGGTCCAATCAAAATAATGACCCTGTGTCATAAGTATCAGAGAGGAGATGAGAAGCTCCATCTCAGCCCTTCTCTCACTGGCAGGCTAATCAAAAGTGTGGCCTTGCATATCAACTCTCAGTGGAACATATTCCATGTTCCAGAATCCCGCTCTCATTTAACCTGATTATCAGTTGTCATCATCAATTCTATCTGAAAATGTGTTATATCACTGATTAACACAGACATGACCCATAAAGATTTGCTTTGTGTTACTCATTCCAACAAACAATTCCTTTATCAAAATTAACACTTAAGTTAAACAGACCTAAGACTGTACCTAATGACCAATTACAATTTCACCTCTCATATTATACTCCATAAGTAACACAAACCAAATAATTCATGGTATTGCAATGTTTTAACATCACCAGTTAACTGTTGACACCAGTCATGGTGTCATACTCTCCGGCCTTCATCAAGTGTTTGCCAATCTGGGTAAATTTCAAGGAATTATGAACTGGACCCTTTAATTTAGCCCTATAGATTTTCCTGGTGGAAAGCTTATATACAGAAGCTAATGAACTTCCATTAGCAATAAGACAAAAAAAGCTTGCACTGTAATGCTGCTTATAACTCTCAACATACCCCCCACCAAATCCAACTTTTTGTTGGATCTTCCACCTGCATCTTCCACCTGCAATATACAACTCTTTTCAGCAAAAAAGAAAATATCATTAAACCATGCAGCCTCCATACAAAAATGAAGCCCAGATAAACATAACACAAATCCACTAGTGAATATCTCTGCCCTGGATGATCAAACTAGATATATTATTAGAACTAACTAAATATCCAAAAACTAATCCCACTCTCTGCAATGACAAACTGTGACCATTTATCTAATACAAGTCTAACAACACACTACATTACTCTCCAGCTTCTCTCACTCACTCTTCTCTTCCACTCAATCAGTCACTATCTTTTACAGGTCATGTGGCTTTCTTTTCTCTTTTCAATTGGGGCTGGTATGTTATCTCAATAGGGTTGATTTGGATTTCCCAAAACTTTTATGATATTGGAAATTGAAAGCAGAATCTGGTGTGGGCCCCTCTGTATATGTTGTGTACTACAGACAAGATTGCATAATTTCTACCTGTAACTGTAGTAAACTTTTGTCTCTTTATGTCAAAGCACATGTCAGAATTGGGTAGGAATAATAACTTCTTCAATGAAATGCACAACATTGTTGATAATTCTAGCAACAGGTTTATTGAATATAAAGAAAAACTGGTTGAATAAAATGTCTCTATTATATACTGCAAAATGAAGTCTTTTACTGCAGGATGGTGTTTTGGTTGGGAAATCTAGCTGCAAGCGCTAAAGCAATAACCAGCCAGTTGACTTCTTCCTCAATTCTTGAAAGTAATAACCAGTTTATCAATTCTATCAATTTTGTCATGTGACAAGGAATTGTAGGTATGCTCTTTAGCCATGACAATCTTATAAGCAATCCTAGACCATTCTGAGCCAACTTCTTTGACTGTCTCTGTCTTACTGTGTTTTCTTTCTATTCCAGCATCAGGAAATATGATTGGGGTGAATCCCTGATGACCTTCCTTAGGCTGATTTTAGAATGGGGAGTCATTTAACATTGATATATCTAATTCTTTCTGTAAAGATAATTCTGTTCTTGAATAATCAACATAAATAAATCCCAATTTTGGCGCTTAACAAAAAAAATGTTTAGCTCTTTGTCTAGAATAATTTGGATCACTCTTTTATTTGATCAGACATTTTGGACATCATTATTTAAACCAACATTTTGAATTTAATTTCAAAATTCTTCTTTGTGTAGAATATTTTGTAAGAACATGTTTTGGACAGATAATATAAAAGTCTATTTAAACTTTTGAATCTAATTTCTCAAGACTGAAGAAACTTGGAAAACACATTAATCATGTCTTATCAGTGGGATGTGGATTGAACTAGGAACCTTGGTTTTGTTCAATTTTACTAAATCTTGTGTAGTTAATTCTGTGTTCGTTTCTCCTTGGAACTGTTAAGAAATTGTTTTATTATTTTCAAACATAATTTTCACTGTTTCTTTTTTTTCATTTTTTTTTTCTTAACCATTTAACCTACTTTCCTGAGAATTTTAATTATTATTCAATTAGTAGTCCCTCCAGGTCATCATCCTGTAATTGCATGCATTTAAATATTTAGACGATGCCAGTGCCCTGTAACAGAACTATTTGCTATCAAAATAATAATTTCCAGATTTTTTACCAATAAATACTGATAGATCAAATGATTGAAGCAAGTTTGGGTGTGCACTGCCAACTATAAAAGAAATAGTCAATGTTAAATCCTGTTTAAAACAAAACATTAGACATTTTTATCTATATAAAAATCATATACTTAACTTATTAAGTAAAAAAAAAATCAAACAAAATCCTAATACAAAAAATGTTAGGAAAATTTTTGACCAATATAAAATCCAAATTTTTAACATGTTTCAGCATTAAATTAACCCATAAAGGGTTGATATGCCATGCAACAAATCAATCAAATTCCTTTACTGCCTTGGCTAGTTTTATTTCTGTGTCTGCCAACATGTGTGTTGTTGAGGTTGTGCTCACCAATTATAAATCCTGACAGAGCCACCAGCTCTCCGAAGATCACCTCACAGTATGGGTTAAATAAATCCATTAAGAAGATGCAGTCTTATGCCCCTTTCTATTTTTGTATTGATTAATTCATTTTTTTGTCTGAATGAAAGTGTTTTGTTCCTAGTAAACCTGATTTTTTTTTTTGTCTCCTAGGTTTTTCTATGTCCATAAGTATGTTGGGTCTCTCAAAAAAAAAAATGTTTATTATTCACTAATTTGCTGTACAGCAACAGCATTGGACCCATTTTTCTCCACGCTCATTACGGAATCCTTGTTCAAACTTGCTATTTTACCATCTCATTCTTTTCCTACTTTACCATTTAGGTCTCTCATGATGATGATGATGGTAATTTCAGATATCTAACCTGGATATAGGAAGAGATCATACTTATTATAAAATTATTGTGTGTGTGTGTCTGTATGTTTATATATTGGATCGGATTTCCTACATTTTTCAACTGATTTCAACAAAACTTCACAGGACTGTGTAAAATTACCTTGTGGTGGTTCTGACAGTGTCAAAATTTGGTAAAACACAATTGTTTTTGCACAAAATCAATTTGAAAACACGATTCTGTCGCCAGAATGAAAGGGGGACAACTCATATCAAGTTATACTTATTATAAAACCCAGGTTGTTTGTGTGTGTGTGTTCGTTTATATATGGGATTGGATTTCCTACATTTTTCAACCAATTTCAACAAAACTTCACTTTTTTTTTTGGCAGGTAGTGTTTCTTATTGTCTTGCATACTTTTTTCTTTATTTTTACATTCAGAATGCTTTAAAAATTCCATTTACAAGACAATTGTTTATAATAAAATTCTATTCAATCGATAGACTCATAACGATTGAAAACAATGTTTGAGTTTGGGTTTGACCAATTCATAAAAAAAAAAACTAATTAAGACATGCGTGTCTGTCAACCTTAAACAATAATCTTGATCAATTTTATTTTTCAGTCTTTATGATGTTCAATACTTGATCTATCTCTTACTGTTACATCCCCGGGCAACGCCGGGCTCTACTGCTAGTTGTTTATATTGTCAACAGAAAATCTTATCCTGTAATAAGCTACTTGAAATACCAATGAATAACAGTTACTAAAACATTTTTATCAGCTAAAATTTCTCATCACTCTTTCTATTTTGGTAATTTTTATATAAATGTTTTTGCAAAATAGATAGAAAATTGGCCAAATTTTGCATGTTGTATTATGGTCATAATCTCATTTTTGTGTATATTTCAAGAAAAAAGTGATTATTATTTAGAATTTAAAATTAGGGCATTTTTTGAAGGCACAAATTTATTCTAAAATACAATTTTATTCAAATTTTATTTAATTTTACATTTTTAGTATATGGGTCTGATGATGAAGAAGATGATTCTAGTTCTCCAAATCGTCAACAGCAGCAGCGGGCTGCTCCATTCAACCAGCCAGGTTCAAGCAATTCAAATTTTGTTCAGCAAAATCAGCCTAGTCCTCCACCTCCATCTTCTCTATCAACAAACCATTTTGACCAGTACCTCCAAGGACAGATACCCACAACTTCTCCTCAGCAACATCAACCACAGCAACAACCACCTTTGACTCCACATGGACAATATTCTCCACCTGACCCAAACAATCCAGTCCCATATCAATCTTGTTCTAGTCCTACCAACTTTGCTGCAAAGCAACCTGCTCAACAACAGCAACCACAGTCAACCAATCCGAGGAATTCTTATGAACAAATTCTCTCTTCCCAACCATCCCAGTTTGGTATGCCACGTCCACTAGGTCAGTCCACATTCACTACAACTAGCATGCCAACCTCTCAAGCATATCTCCCACAACAGCAACAACAACCACAGCCTCCTCAGTTTAATGGACATGCACCAGCTGTGGCCACAAATCCAGGATACCTTCAGCAATTTGCAAGCCAGCCTCCTCCTTCACAACAATTTTCCAATCAGCCATCTACAGCTCAACCACCTCCATTTCAACCTCCTCCTCCTGGCATGTCATTTTGGATGTCTCCAACCTGACAAAAAAAATCAATTGTACTCATTCTAACAGTTTATTGCTGTCTTATAAATACTGTGGTTGAGTTGTTCACTTTCTTGGCTGCATTCTCATTCCTACCTCAGGTAAGGAAGCAACTGAATGGTAAGTAGAATTTGGCAGAACAAAGAAGGGCAATGATTTCTGGAAAACATCAAACACTTTAAGCATATTTTCTCTCACTTTTTTTTTTTTTTATTGATTTGTTTATGAATTGGGGAAGCCTGTATATAGCTAAGCTATTCAATTCCATTTCCAGTGAAGTTTATATTAAATTTTGACTTCCAAAAAGAAATTATGTTTGTTTATTTTTTATTGTAATTTTTGTATTAAATTGCATATTATCTGAACATTAATTCTTTGCAGTAAGTAAACATATACTTGTACTGTGGAGATTAACAGTGAATTTTAACAGGTCAGAACAGCTCTGCATCCCTTCATTAGAGTTCAGTGTAGTTTTATACACTGAAAAATTTATTAATTTTGAAATTGTATTAAAAAATGTACACATAGGAAAAATTAAATATTAATATTATCTAACTCCTGTGATCCTTTAATACAACTATGTTTATAGCATGGACTTGAAAAAACTTATACCATAAACTTAAAATTGTTTTCATTTGTTTTGACATTGAAATTATTCCCTCACTCTGTTTAGTAAAATAGGCTAAAATGCCAGAGTTAATCAATATAATGTGACTTTTCTTTCTTATAAAATATTGTCTTCAAGCTGAAAATGATTATGAAAATGCCTTGTGAAATTGTTGGAATAGTTTAGTAATATTGATTCAGCTGTTATTGGCAAGCTTGAATGAGTGAACGTTTAAAAATATGTTGCTAAATTGGTTCTTCAGAACTTTTCATTACTGATTGTTAATTCATGTGTTTTTGTTTTTTTTACCTTTTTTAATTCTTGTTTTTTTGAATTTTAATTTTATTGATTATTTAAAATATTGCAATATTTATGTTAAATTATTGAAAACTTAAGTTGTCTACTACTGTTCAGTTAATATGGAATTTAAATGAAGTATTTTTTAATTCTTTAAATTGCATGTTCTTACAGTTCTCTCTATTTTGTTGGTGTTCATTTCTTATTCATATTTTTATTAAGCAATTTAATGCTGCTTCTTTAAAAGACCCAGCTCATCCTTAAGTTCACATTTAATGATGATATCATAAACCATTCCTTTGTATTAAAAACAAATCTGGAAATCAATTAATATTTCTTTCCTGTTTTATATGATGTCCAAATCCCTTTTGTACTGTCTTTTAATCATTCACAAATGAATTTAAAATATTGTCAAAGAATGCTTTTAATGGATGATTATTAGAAACAAAAAACTTCTGTGGATAATCATTTACTAGTAACTTTATTATTGCTGTGATTGTCTATAGGCCATATAAAGCATTTTCCAATGTAAGCTGCTTTTTACTTACATATATGTAACCATTATGATTAAAAACAAGAAACTCTTTAAATAAAATATATATACTCATTTAATTTGTAAATTGATAAATTTAATAAACGGTAGTTTTGTGCTTCAGCTGATTATTTAAAAGTTGTACTTTAGAACAAACATCCATTTCTCAGCTTCTGTCTTTTCATATATTTGAGATCCTGTAAGTAGATTTATAAATTTAATACAAACTTTTAGATAAAAGTAACTATTAAGATTAGAAAAAAATACTTGAATTATTAAAAAAATTGGAATGTTGCAGTGAAACTTGCATTTTAAATTTGATAAACAAACATCCAAAAGCTGCTATTGCTATTAGTAAGTAACCATTGATCTTTCTCTGCAGATAGCTTCCTAATTGTTTGTGCACAGTTTTTACTCAGGAATGACATGTATCTTATAATTATTTTCTTGAAGTGCTCACAGAAATCTTAAAATTTTTTAAAAAATTATTATAATTATTAGTTTTCCTCAGTCATTACTAAATTGTAGATATGACATTTTAGAAAATTATACTACACATTCTATCTGCATTTAATCTAAAAGAAGCTTAAAATAGCTTGATAATAAATTATAGTTTGAAATGCAATGCCATCTGTAGTATTTCTAATGCTTCCCTCTTACCATTCTTCATTTAAACATGTCTATATTTTCTCTGCATATGAAAATACTATTTAGAAATTTTGATCAGTGTCTTATTCTCGTATTGAATATCACTACAGATAATGACTTGAATTGATATTCAAATAAGTTATCTTTAACATTTAAGTATTTATTGCTAATTCTATATTTATAATCATTGTACATCAATATACATTTCTGAATTTCATTTCTTTTCTCTTTACTGGATTCTATTCTTGTGCCTTCAATAAAATGTTTCTGTTACATTAACAATCCTTTTTTTTTTTTTTTTGCTGCATAATATACTAATGCTAGTCATAATTTGAGCTTTAGAAATGACCATATTGATTTTCATTTATCTCACATTTTTTCAGAATGTTTTTTTGATTTTAATTGCTACTGTCAAACTTCATTCTAATATTTTGCTATTATTATATATAATATCTAGTCACAAAATTAGTTGAAATATTTATTTCCTTCAGTCATTAAAATAATGAATTTGTAATCAAATATTATCTTGAAGATACTTTGTGCTAATGTCAATTATGATTATTGAATAAATGCTTTATTAATTAAGGTTACTGATAATTTACAAACTTATCTTCCTAGTCAAAAGATTGTTGATTCCCCTGATAGCTAAGAAATAAAAGCTATAAATAATACATATTTTTGAAATTATCTTTAAGAAATGGTTTTACTGTACAATTCTACTTACAATCATTATAGAAAATTCTTATGGTCTCATAGATCTAACAACTTATTTCTCTTATTAAGATGCAAGTGTTAAAGCACAAAAATAGAATTTCTAATCATACAATAAAAGCATTTTAAACTTCACAGACAATTATAAAAATAAACCCCTTTTTATTTCATATGAATGTTATGCTTGTACATTGAGTGCCACATATTTTGGAGGCTACAAAATGAGATCTTGTATTATTTCCATTTCAATTCTAAATGGAACTGGCCTGTCAGTTGCTTTTAGTCTGAAAACAATGCCTTACACCAATTGGATCAAGACAGCAGTTTCACTGTTGCTGTTTGTACAAAGTTTTGTCTTTCTTTTCTGATGTTTGCATCATTTGCACAACAGATCATGGTGCTTACTCATTATTTACTAACAAAACTCCCCATGTACATACATGATTATGAATAAAACTTATTTTTCTCTATTTGACAGTTTTCATTGGTATTTGGGGAATAATCCTGCATGTGCTTATTATTTATCATTTAACTATCATTGCTGTTTTTAATGACTAAGCAAATTTTGCCAGGAACTTGAACTTCAAACTTCTTTTTAGAATAGGCTTTTATCTTTGTGTAAGCCAGCATTAAGCAATCATTTACAGAAAAAACACTTTTTTAAAAATTTAAAAACCAGTATAACAGTAACCCTGGTTCAAAATTTTATTGCATGATGATGCCTAATGATGATTTGGAGCAGGAAATAATTAGGATTAAACAGTAAAAAAAAATGACTTGAAACTAATTAAGCATTGGAGAATAAGGAAATGTGACAACTGGAAAGTTTTTCTGTGACATGTTTCATTTGTTAGGATTTCATCAAATTGGTCTTTTCTTGAAGGGTCTTGAATGTATTTTCAATATATTTCTCCTCTTCTTATTGGGGGCTGCAAGTTCTGAGTGCTCTTAACTAGAATCCTATAATCATTCCAGATTTTATTTTGTTGTTATAATGGGAGTAGAAGTTTATTCAATGTTATATAAATATAAAGTGTCGCTGCCGACACTGGAATTTGAACACCAGAGAGCAAATACAGGCGATCCCATTTTGAATAAGTAGATCACATGATGGTAAAGGGAAATGTACATATGGGAATTAGAGTGGCATCTAAGTGATCACTACACAGATTACTATTCGGTGGTTACTTTTCAAGTGAGTATTATCAAGCAAGTACTATTAGTGCGAGTGTTATTCAAAGGCGTCTGACACCAGTATTGTTCAAGGCGTTACTATAGTTGTATCCACAATTACCAAGTCTCTACTACAACGAGCATTGCAAAAGTGACAATGAGTATTTTTTGACATTACAAAAGTGGCAACAAGTGTTGACATAACAAAATTAAATCATTTTTATTGGTTGATTTTCAGTGGACACTAAGTTCTAGGCTGTTGTCAACTTGGTGTAACATGTCTAAGAAAGATAAAGTATAGTTTTTTTCTATTTTATATGTGAATTCTATTGTGTGTTCAATTTTGTTTAGTTTATCTACAAGATCCGGTAAGTTAGTATCATGGACATATATTAATAGAGCATCATCAATATATCGGAAGTAATTTGTTTTGGTAAAATGTTTAGGAAAGAAGTTGACTTGAGAAATTCCAAGAAAATGGAGTCTACTTCTTACCTGCATCTCTTGAATCTTGAAACTACCTATCTCATTTCGTGCACATGTGTAGACGTGTCAAGGTCAATATAACCCAGTCCGATGAAATCCTAATGGATGAAACGTGTCACAAAAAACCTTTCCAGTTTGTCATATTTTTTTAAATACTGTTGATATATAAAATTATACAAAATTATATATCATTATATCAGAATAAGGAAAGAAAGAACAAATTAAAAATAATAATTAGAAGCCATAAAATGTGTTTGGAAAAGGTTCTAGGAAGATTCAAACCTAAAATAAACTAAGTTCATTAAGATTTAGTAAGATTTCAACAACCCGAATACATTCTAAAAAGGGTCATGTGTTATTGAACAAAGTCATGAATATGCAATAAATCACATTCAGGGATGAGCATATTTCCTTATATAAACACTGCAGATGGAGTCAAGAGAGGTAGAACGCAGGAAAGATAAGTCTGTTCCTGCTATCAATGAACACACAGACAGAAGCCTTAATAGAAAAGAAGACAATGTGAGAATCAAGTGCATTATCTA